TTTGGCCAGTAGTCTGGATATGTCAGTTTCGGTGTGTAGTATGGGGCTGAAGGGCGTGCTTTACTTGAATAGAGACACCTTATCTGCCATCTCGCTGACCGGAGATACCTTAAGCGCCTGGGGATTGTGAGCATTGTGCACCACACTCAACCTCCACAAGCACGGGGTCAACTCACTGCTTCGTATACACCCGGTCCACCTTCCGTGTGCCAGCCCTCAATCCCGCAGTTGAACTGTGCACTGGTGTCGAAGATATCATAGAAGTATTTCTTGTATGCTACCGGTCGGGTGGCGCTGTAGGAGAAGCTCCCCTGCGTCAGCGGGCGCAGCGCCCCCGGGGCATTCTTATCGAGGAAGGCGGCGATGTCCCGGATCTGGGAGCCATTCGCCCCGTACCCGTCCTCGGAGGGGGTCTGGAAGTTCATAAACTCTAGCTCCACTGTTTCTGGGGTCAGCATTGTCCAGTCAAGTGACCATTCAGCCTGCAGGCGCATACCTCCGGCCATCCCCTGGCAGTTTTCCGCAGCGAGCCGATCACATATCGACCGGAGCATGCTGCGCCCGTCGGCAGAGACGGGCTGGTCATTCTGCACGAAGCGCACGAGGAAGAACGGGATGTTGTCCTCCCACGGGATGCGCCGGAAGGAGTTCAGGTCCGGGATGGCGATGAAGTCGACGTAGCCCGAGTCCGCCGGCGCGATCTTCGCCTCCGTCGTGTACAGCACGTCCTGCATGTCCCACCCGAACACGGCGGAGCTGAACCCAAAGCCCTTCTGCGCGATGCCCAGGAATTTCTCCGTGGACATCACCTTGCCGCGCAGGATGCCATCGCAGTCGATGCCGGCGACCTTGACCTTGATGTCGTTGGCGAGGAGGGTGGGGAGGTCCTCCGCGGTGATATTTGCGGATGTCATCGCGACGGGTATGTTGTGTAGTGAGTTGCAAAAGTGTGAAACCAGAAATGGAGACGAGGAAGGAAAGGCGAGGCGAGGACTTTAAAGGGAGTCGCAGCAGCGACTGGGCGTGACCCCGACGACGGTCGCAATGCTTGCGACACCATAGTACAAAGCTCCACTGGAGCTCCATCGCGCGGCAATGGACTTCATTGGCGGTCTCCAATGGTAAGGACTGGTTTGGTGATACTGGCTTCGAAAGTGACGGCTCCAGGACTGGGGGAGTTGGAGCTATACAGCTACCGCGCGCGCTCCCAAACACCTCGGACCGCGCTGCTGCGGGGCAAGCCACGGGACCGCGCTTATCGCTTATCGCTCGTGAGGGGTCGGGGTTGGAGAGAAGGCACGTGATGCTTTAACCAAGGCCTGTTACGTAACAGTCAGCTTGCGATTTGCCTCAGGTATCAACAGGGAGCCCCATCGGGGAATTCATTCTAACCGCGGTTGCTGGTATAGCTTCTAATAACTTGGTACAAAAAGTCAAGATGGGTGCAGTACTTCACTACGCACTAGCTGTGACTGGCGACTACCACAATCACAACAGCAAGCATGATGACCCAACTTCTTCGAGTCGCCGTCCTGGAATGCGACACGCCAGTGGATCCCATCCTCACCGAATATGGCACCTACGGGGATATCTTTGAGAATCACCTGAAGGAGGGGCTTCAGAAGATTGCGACTCCTGTGAAACTGCAGTTGACAAAGACCAATGTTGTACTACCATTTGCCGAGTACCCCAAACCCGAAGAATTCGACGTCGTACTCTTGACCGGCAGCAGTAAGGCAAGCAAACTACTATTCAGAAGACGGTGCTGACACGGCTTTAGAACACGACTCTTACAGAGATGAGCCCTGGATACTCACGCTGGTCCGCTTCGTCCAAGACTGCTATACCGTGCACAACAAACCCATGGTCGGAATCTGCTTCGGCCACCAGATCATTGCGCGGGCTCTGGGGGCACGCGTTGGCCCCAGTGTTTCTGGATGGGAGGTTGCCGTCGAGCCGTTCTACTTGACCAGTGCAGGGAGGCAGCTTTTTGGAAAGAACGAGATTGTATGTCGGCTGGAATGCACCACCGAAAGATAAGGTACTGACGATTTACAGTCTTTGCAGATGATGCACCGTGATGTTGTCTTCGAAGTCCCGCCGGGATGTGTCAACCTGGGTAGCAGTCTGATTTGTGGTATCCAGGGTTTATATATCCCGAAAAAGATTCTGACTGTTCAAGGCCACCCAGAGTATAACGAGTTCATGGTCAGCTCGATTCTCAAGATACGCTATGAGCGCGGTGTGTTCGAGGAGGGCTTCTACAAGGATGGCATGTCGCGGGTCGATAAGCCGCATGACGGGGTATCTGTCGCGGAAACGATGACACGATTTGCGTTGGGGATGTTGGATTGATTGATTTGGAAGAATTGCTTACTGTAGTACTCATACATTTACTTTAGCCCTGAGTAGCATGCCTAATGATTCCATTGTGTTCTCCCCCTCCCCGCCACATCGATGCATCCTTACGTCGAACCCCACCACCAGACCGCGCCTCCGCCGATAGAGCGCGCCAATCACATGCGTGCCCACTTTGCCCCTCCAACACCTCTTATCGTCCGATTATAACAACTCTTCATCCCAGCTGCCACTAACTTATTCCCAACCCCCATCCCAATCTCATCCAGGTCGATTGTTGCTTCCACAGACTGAAACTCACCCGGCAACATATCCAAGATGACGAACCAGATCCGTACCCTTTCCCCCTCGACGAACAAGGTCATCTTCGAGCACCCCGGCACCTCTGTCGAAGAAGCCCAGAAAATCGTCCAAGCTTCCCAAAATGCATTGCTCACATACAAGAAAACGACCCTCGCCCAAAGGAAGGAGATCGTCGTGAAAGCGCTGGATCTCATCGTCGCCGACAGAGACACGCTGGCCGCCGAACTGACGACTCAAATGGGCCGCCCGATCGCCTACGCCGGCAAGGAAATCGACACCTTCCGCAAGCGCGCCGACTACCTGCTCAACATCGCCGAAGAGAGCCTGAAGAACCTCCCCGGCACCCCCGAGAGCGGATTCCGGCGATTCATCAAGAAGGAACCCGTTGGTCCTGTTCTGATCTCGACCGCCTGGAATGTGAGTTGTACCCCTGTTCCTGTCAGTGGCAAATGTGTTTTGCCGAATTTTGCCGTTGCTAACCAGGAACCGCACTTTGCCTGGTAGTACCCGTACCTCATCACCGTCAACGCCCTCCTCCCCGCCCTGCTGAGCGGAAACACCGTCATCCTCCGGCCCTCCCCGCAGACCCCCATCTTCGGCGAACGGCTCGCCTCCTATTTTGTCCAGGCCGGTCTGCCAGACCACGTGCTGCAGGTCATCCACTGCGGCTCCGCCGACGTGCTCGACGAGATCGCCCAACTGCCCCAGATCAAGCTCATCTCCTTCGTCGGCTCGACGCTCGGGGGGCTGCGCATCCGCGAGGCCACCGCCCGCCGTTTGGTGCCGGTGAACCTCGAGCTGGGCGGCAACGACCCGGCGTACGTGCGGCCCGACGCCGACCTGGCCTCCGTGGCCGCCAACATCGTCGACGGGGCGGTGTTCAACTCGGGCCAGAGCTGCTGCGCCATCGAGCGGGTGTACGTGCACGCGGACGTGCATGATGCGTTTGTGGAGGAGGTGAAGAAGGAACTGGCTGGGTAGGGCCCCTTTCCTCATTGTACCCCTCAAACAATCCCCAATCACGTCAATCACGATAGCTAATCTTTTTGAATCTACAGTTACAAGGTCGGCGACCCCCACGATCAATCCACGACCACCGGCCCCGTGATCTCCAGCCTCGCCGTCAAGAACATCCAGTCGCACATCTCGGATGCCCTGTCCAAGGGCGCGGTGGACGTGACGCCGTCGAATCCCACATTCCAGAACCTTCCCACGGAGGGCAACTACCTGGCGCCGACGGTGTTGATCAATGCCACGCACGACATGCAGGTCATGAAGCACGAGACGTTCGGCCCGGTGCTCCCGATCATGAAGGTCTCTTCGGATGAGGAGGCGGTCAACCTGATGAACGATAGCGATTACGGTCTGACGGCGAGCATCTGGACCAAGGATATCAAGAGGGGCGAGGAGTTGATTGATGATGTCGAGGCGGGCACAGTGTATCTGAACCGTTGCGATTATCCCAGTCCGGTATGTTTGGAGAATGCATCTGTGAGAAAAGTATGCTAACATTTGGGAATAGGATCTCGCGTGGATCGGATGGAAGAATTCGGGTCTGGGGTTCACGCTGGGCCCTAAGGCTTACGATGGGTTCTACAAGTTGAAGAGTTTCCATATTAAGGAGGAGTAGGCTGGGGCGGTTGATGTGTTTTAATGAGTTATGTGTGGTTGATGAAATAGACTGGGTAGTAATCGCATTTGAGCAGTATGTCCATTTTCTCACCTCGTACTTTCTCACATCTTGCCGACAATCTGGTCCCGTAGCCCTTGCAAGAATATCCCCGTAGTCCAGCATGACTGCTACAAACAAAATTCCTTGTACGAGAAGTTTTACCCTGTAGATCGAAGCCGTCGCAGGGATCCCCTCCCGTCCGCTTACCCCCGGCACGCGAACTCCCTCCTCCCTCGCCTCTTCCTCCTCAACCACCAAGTAAACAGCCTCAATCCTCAATAGAAACCATCCTCGAGAGATCCTCCTCCAAACCAACCCTCACCACCAACTTACTCACTGCAAGAAAATACTCCCCCTGACAATCCCAGTCTATCCGCCGAGCAAACCAGCAAAGCACCCGATAAGCTAAACGACTAGGTAAGCTCCCAACCGCGGCGCGGTCCCGGACCGCGCTCACCCGGCAGACAAGCAAAGCAAAGCACGGACCCGACTTCCCGTGTCGCACGCATCCTTATCGCTTATCGTACACATAACCTTAGTTAGCAAGCTCAGCATTTTACCCCTCCATCCGAGGTACAGTCCAGTACAGGATCAGGACCCTGTCGAAATCAATCATCTAAGCGATAAGAAGCATCCTTTGAAAAAAACAACCAATAGCATTTTTACTGAAGAATTCCCTCTGGTCCATGGATCGACTTCCCCTAGTGGGGCAGCTCACGTGCCCGTTCATCTCTTGCAGCGCCGCGCAACGCAGCGCAGCTAACACGTGGAACCCCCCGAAGCGCGGTATCCGGGCGGTGAAGGGGTGAAGGTGGGGTGGGGGGTTTAGTGGGGAAAGGGAAGGTAGGTAGTAGCTTTCGGCGAGGGGGAGGCATATTAAAGCGGTCGGGGGTCTCTTCTTCCCACTTCTGCCCTCTGTCCTTCTACGCGCAATCTCATCCTGCACTTTGGGGCTCAATATCTGCGGAATATCGGTGTTTCAAATCACACAATCAAGAACTTTCGATCTACGGAATCAAGGACTTAAAACGAAAGACAGACACAATGGTTGGACGACTTGCAGGCAAGAATGCTATCGTGACCGGTGCGGCGGGGTATGTTGTTTCCCTCTTTTGCTGGGACTATAACTCGAGATACGATGTCTCCAAAAAAGCAAGACAAGCTAACTGATGCTCGTGCTTGACCCCCGGCGAACAGCGGTATCGGCCTCGAAACCACGATCCTCATGCTCCGCGAGGGCGCCTCCGTCCTGATGACTGACGTCAGCGGGCCGGGCCTCGAGAAAGCCCTCGCCAAGGTCCGCGAGGTCGTCCCCCAGCACGACGGCCGCGTCGAGACCCGCACCGTCGACGTCTCCAAGGAGAGCGAGATCGAGGCCGCCGTCGCCCACCTCGACGCCTGGGGCGGCGTCGACGTCATGTTCAACAACGCCGGCATCATGCACGCCCAGGACGGCGACAGCGAGCAGACCCCCGAGAACATCTGGGACTTGACCATGAACATCAACGTGAAGGGCGTGTGGTTCGGGTGCAAGCACGCCGTCAAGAGTCTGCGCAGGCACGGCAAGAAGAAGGGCAGCGTGATCAACACGGCGAGCATGGTGGCGCTGGTCGGCGCCGCGACGCCGCAGCTGGCCTACACGGCTAGTAAGGGCGCCGTGTTGGCCATGACCCGCGAGCTGGCGATTGTGCATGCTAGAGAAGGTATGTTGTTTGTTTCTCGTGTGTTGAGGCGTGGCTTGCTGATGGTGGTTGGTTGATGTGTAGGATTCCGCTTCAACTCGCTGTGTCCTGCTCCTTTGAAGTGAGTATCTCCTTGATTGTGCAGATTGAGATTGGTGAAGAGTCTTGGCTGACCATGGCACTAGCACCCCCCTGTTGCAGGATTGGCTCGGCGATGACAAGGAGAAGCGCTTCCGCCGCGAGGTCCACTTCCCCACCGGTCGCTTCGGCGAGGCCATCGAGCAGGCCCACGCAGTCATCTTCCTGGCCAGCGACGAGAGCAGCTTCGTCAATGCCGCTGACTTTGTGGTGGACGGCGGTCTCACGAAGGCCTATGTCACCCCGGAAGGTCCCGCCACTGAGGCCCCCAAGAACCAGGCCTTTTAGAACCAGGATTCACGCTTTGCGCTTTTCCAAGCTGGTCTTGTGGAGGAGGGATGCTGCGATGAGTCATGAAACTAGTGTATATTTAGAATCGAGAAGCCGTGGACGGTAGTTTTCCTTGTTTATGCAAACGATATCCAGATTTGATTCTGCTCCATCGCGCGACAGATGTTCCAGGGCCCCGCCTCCTCCAGCGGCATCTGCCACATGTGCTCGAGGAGTAGCTTCGTGCGGTGCATATTCCCCAGCCCGAACGTAGACACCATCGTCGTCAACCGCTGTCGCAGATTCTCCTGGTGGTCCGGGTGGGACAGGCAGGAGCCGACGACGGCGATGGGCCAGCAGAGCCCGGAGTTGATGCGGGCGGTCGCCGACAGTTGCGTCAGATACGACATGGCCTCGGCAATGGCCGTCTCGACCAGCATCTGATGCATCCCCGTCTTCGACCGCGCGAAGTGCCGGGGCCCGCCCAGCGCCGTGTAGAGGTAGAGCAGCATCGCCTGCTGGAAGATCCGGCCCGCCAAAAACACCTCCGGCGAGACGGACGGGAGCGGCGCCCACCGCATGATCTGCGCCTGCAGCGACCCGTACATGGCGATCTCGTCCGCCGTCGGCACGATGACCGGCTGGTCACCACCCTCAGGATCCGTCGGAGGCAGCATCATCCAGTGCCGCCCGAGGTCGAAAATACAAGGGATCAGCAACAGCAGCTCCAGCCAGCACCCGCACAGATTCCCCACGTACCCGACCTCCAGCAGCTGACGGGCCTTCTGCTCCAGGTCGAAGTTCAGGAGCACCTGCTGGCTGACCCGGGCGTCGATGGAGATCATGCTCACCGCCGCCGTGTAGGTGTAGTACTCAATCACAAAATCCCTGAGGTCTTTGGGGATGGCCGCATCGGCCGCCTGGTGGTGGCCCAGCAGCCGGATCAGCAGGGAGTGCGCGGCGGAGAGGTGGTCGAAGATCGTGCCGTTCATGTCGCCTTTCGCCGTCTACATCTGGGCATTAACCAAAAAAAAAGCTCATCTAGAGAGAAAACGTGGACTGTACTAGTAAACAGAGTGGTGCATACCTCAGTGAAGCACATCACCAGCGCCCCCACCGTCAGAATCAGCGGGTTGGACTCCTTCCCGTCGATGAACTCGGTCACCCCTTTCCGGAACAGCTGCAGCGCTTTCGTGTAGTGGCTCTGCGCCACCTCGTCCGAGTCGTTCAGCCGCCGGAACGCCCGGTGCGCCGCGCTCTGCGTCAGCACCAGCTGCAGCAGCAGGTCGCTGCTGAACGCCAGCGGCACGATCTGCACCAGGAACGGGTTGATGGGCGTCGACCCGTTGGCCATGCAGTCCGCCGTCGTCGCCATGTAGTGGCTCAGCAGCTGGTACGAGTCCAGGCCGTGGTTGGGCATCATGGACATCGCGCCGGGGAGCGCGTTGCCTATTGTTGTGAGTGCTGTGGTCGCTGATGTGCGGTCTGGAGTGGGTGTGGGGTCTGTAGCGGTAGATCGTGAGGCGGTGGTAGTGAAGCCTGGGGCAGTGTTGGGATTGCCGTGCTCATCCTCGAGCAGCTCCATCTCGCCCGGGATCTCCTCCTGAGAGAGTACGGAATTAGGAGATGCTGACGATGATGCTACTGCTGCTGCTGGTGATGGCGATGAGGACGATGAGGACAACGTCTCAGGGGAGCTGGAGACGCGGGTCTGCGCTCGGGCGATATGCTCTGGGCGTTGTTGCGCATGGCTCTCGGTGCAGAATGTAGTAGTGGGCGTAGGGGCGGTCCAGGCAGTAAGCGTAGTCGCGCTGGGGACCCCCAGCACACTCGATGGCCATTGGCAGGTCAGCTTGTTGCGCACGCAGCCCCCGCAGACGGGTTTCGCCTCGTCGCACTTCTTCTTGCGCCGTCGGCAGGCCCAGCACCCCGTCCGAACCCGCACGATGGGCTCGGTGCGTAGCCGTTTAGTCGCCGGCATTTGAGGTGAATTCCGTGTTGTATTCTAGAAGCCCCGAAGAATTAGTGGTGTGAGAGAAATAGGGTCTAAGGGACTAGTCATGGATCGCTCCGGGCTGAAAGGGGAGGTGATGGGGAAGAGTAGCGGAAGTTGTGATGATAAGAGAAGACTGTGTGGGGAATTGGCCCATTCTGGAGATGTTGATTGGCCGCTGGGGCCGGGACCGCGGTGGGGATTTTGTATCGACGCCGGAATGGTACAGTATCCATGATGGTTCGATAGATTTCAGTTAAGCACAGTACGCAGTCTATAGGTGAATGGATGATGGCAAGCCTTTTGAAAGAATAGGAAAAAATGCTTGAATTCAAATTATCTCACCAGCCATTGATTCTCGGCCATACGTCAATAATCCTAGACCCATCGCCATCTTCACTGGAATCTACAATCAAATACCATCCATACAGGGCACCGGTGATACACGCATGGTTGGGGAAGATCTTCACAGACTGGCCAAGCTTGAGAGGGATCTTTGACTGGTCGCTTTTGTCCTCCCAAGAAACGATAGCATGCTCCTGGCTGATGCGCTGCACAAGGAGTCGGGAAGCGCCCGGTTCCCGTCTCCAAGCGCTGATAAGCCCCCACCCGGGATACGAGGCGGCCGGCTCTCTCCCCAGAGCCAAGGAGCCTGCCGCGACCAGCGCTTCAGGTTGCGAACGCTCCCCATTGTTGTAGACGCTGCACACTTCAGCGATCACGGAGATGCCGATCTCGCTCTCGGCATCCCGTGTCTCGTGCACATTGGTCCCCAGCTGCTGCATATCGAGAAACGGATACACGCCCGCATGAAGCTCGACCTTGACCTTCGCGTTGACGTCGTGGTCTGGGTCGTGAAGGAGGTTCCTCAGTGCCTCTGCTCCGGAACTCAGAGATTCATGCAAGAGGTGCTGCGACGAGACCACCTGCGGCGTCGCGCCGACACTGATGACCAACTCCCGGTCGGTCGGGAGCAGCTGGAGGTTCTGCTTCAGCGCGTCCCTGCAGCTGGAAATCTCCTCGTTCAGATACGCCATCAACTCTTCCGGCGTAGATCCCGAATAACTTAGGCTGTTGTGGGAGTACAACCCCAGAAGCGACGCGTGGCCCTGCTTCTCCGCGGCCGCGACCTTCTCCAGCAGCCCGTTTTTGTTGAGCTTGTTCGGCGGAAGCCCCGCGCGGTGGTACCCAGAGTCCACCTTCAGAAACACGCAGGCGGCGTGGCCGGAAGTCTCGTGGAAGGTCTGCAGCAGATCGACTTGGTCCGGGTGGTCGATCATGACGGAGATGCTCTTCTCGCCTAGTAGGCGGGACAGCGTGGCGAGACGCGGCACTTGTGACGGCACGAGGGGGATGCCGTACAGCACGTTGACGGAACGCCCGGCGCGCTGGAATTCTTGGAGCAGGGGCACGAGTATCTCGCCCTCGAGGACTGTGGAAATGACCAGGTTGACCTCTTGGCTCGACTCGCCGACCTGGAGGCGGGTGGCTTGTGGGGTCTTCAAGGGGTCGATTAGCTCTGGTGTGGGTGTGTGAACGGTATGGGAGGGACGTGTCTGACTTTATGGGTCTTAACATGGGCGCGGAATCCAACGTTCAGCGCTTTGGCTGCGTCCAGCATGGCCTGGCAGTGTTTCTTGATGATGGCCACATCTAGCACGACGGCTGGCTTGGGTACGTCGTTGATGTCTTTGCCAACATAAAACTGCTTGAGCTCCGCGATGGAGGGGGAGGGTCTTGCGAGAAAAGAGGGGGGGTTCATTTTGACTTTTGATACTCAGATGAGAAATGTTGTAGACTTGGTATGGTTCGGGAGAGGTTGTCTGCTGTTATATAAATTCAGCCTCTCGCTGCGGTACACTGAATCTGGCAAGTGGGTCACCGCGGCTCAAAGTGACATAGGGCGTTCAGTGGAATAGAGATCATAATGCATGGATTATGCCCCTGGACATTGTCAGCTCATCTGTTAGATCTTAGGCAGACATCTCAGGACACACTCCACTGCTCTCCACAGTTCCTGAGCGATGTCCGAAATAAGGAAGGATATAGGTAGGGGGTTGCCAGAGGATAAGCCGGTAAACGGCAGCCTGGCGGCCTGAGTGACTTCGCTCCCGCGCACCGAATCAGGAAGGTGGATCTGGCTTAGTCATTCGATGATCGCTTCGGCTCCGATCTTCGGTCTAGCTTCCTTCTACTCATCGGCACTTCATCGCACGACTTCGATAGTGGCACTGCATTGGAGGTCACTTTCCCATTGTCTCGATTGTATCGGAGCCAAGTACCTAAGGGCCAACCCAGCTCGAGGACCGCAGCATAACCCAATCGATTCTTCCGGTTGAATGGTGCGATGTACAGACCAGCACCGCCTCGACCGAAGAAGACCAGCATAGTCCGCTCGCGTACAGGCTGCAAGTTATGTCGCCAGCGCCGTGTCAAAGTTTGTTCTCATACTTGCTTGGCTCGTCCTGCTCACTGATACTTGTAGTGTGATGAGACTAAGCCGTCATGCGGGGCGTGTACCCGTGCAGGCAAGACCTGCGAAGAAGTGTCACCAAGCTTCAGCTTCAACAATCAAACTGCCTCTGCTCACAGACCTGTATCGAAGCCCCTTCAGCATGTGCGATGGCAACCGTTCTACAAGTCTACCTTACCGCCCAGTTCTTTGGGACACGAAGCCAGCAGAGAAACCCGCAAGTTGAAACAGAGGATCCCATTGAGCGTCTGCAACGCACAAACTCATGAAGACCCCGATAGAGTTGCAGATGAGTTGCGAAGACTTGCATCAGCCGAGTCTTTCCTGCACATTGACACTGTGATTGACTTCAAGAGCGTCGAAAGTGAACAATTCTATCTGAACTACTGGGAAAGCTCCTGCATCGATGCTCTGGGCCGTCTCTTCCACGGCATCAACTCTATCCTTCACAAAGATGATGCTTTAAAACACTCCCTGCTTGCCTTGGCAGCCTGCAACGTCAGCCGAAGCTCTCCGGAGGGCCTCACCAATAAGGGCAGACTAATCATCTTGCCCAATCGTACTCATCAACTATCCAGCCAGCGGTACTACAGTTCCGCGGTTGGCGAAACTGCAAGAACCTTGCAAGCAAAGGCTGCATCGTCACCATTGACAACCTTGGCCATACTGGTGCTCTTCTGCTTTATGGAGACAGCTATGGGAAACTTCCGAGGGTTCGGATGGCATTGCCAGGGAATCGCCCAGATAATTGATCTGCAGCTTTCACGCCTATCGAAAGACGCACTTGGCAAGGAACTCATTGCCGCCTGGCTTGCATCGAGACTCCATATGTGGTGGCGCAGAATGTACTTCACCACGTTTGCTCTCCAGCTCAGCCAAAGGTCGCTCTCTGTTTCACCGGAATTGACGCAGGTGCTGCGGACAATCGATGCTCAGAAGACTCTGCTTGTATCCATTCTGTGCGAGTCGCACCGGCTGAACACGATCGCCACTCTTCAGATCTTATCAGACACCTGTGCGCCAAGCCTTGCTGCCTGCACCGTCGACGAATGCATTTCATCATTGAAGGCAGAAGGAAAAAAGCTTGACGAGTGGCATTCTCGCCTCGATCCGTCTCAGCTCCCACTTGATGTGCTGCCCCAACCTCCGCATGGCCGTTTCTCTGAGATTGCACATCCACTGTTCTTTCGTTCCTACGAGGCAGCAATCAATTATGCATATTACAGTGCAGCGCGAATTATGCAATGCACAGAAATGCTGTATCCTATACTCGAGTCCGACGAAGACCAAGAAACACGACCACGAGAGGACCAAGCCGTCACTACATCCTGGATGACCATTCTGTTTCGTATTGTAGCAGGCTTGGATATCATCGGGTGTACTAGAAAGAATACCTACTCAATCGGTATCGCGAGCTTACTTTTGGCTTGCGTCCTCAAGTGTGATGATCTTACATGCGGATGGCAAGTACAGAATTGGCTGCAAAAGTGCGTTGACCTCGCGATCCTTGAAGAGGGGAGCTTTCCGATCGCACAAACCTTGGGTGCTGTCCGCATCATCAATGAGGAACGTGTCGCTGGAAGGGATGTCTACGCGATTGGTTTGGCGGAAGATGACGGCGGTGGGTCGGGAAAGTATTCGTCTTACAACAGTCAAAGGTTCCGGGACTTTGTCATTTTAGGACGGATGAGGGTGGATGGCTCAATATACTCCAAGAATATCGGTATGGGATCGGGCTGATATTACGGCTAACGAATCCACCTCTCTTCGAGGAACTCTAACCACGAACTATGGGGCATGTTTTGGCCACACTCCGTTGCCAGAAAAAGTCTCCAACTCTTCGACAAAGTTGTCCCACAGGGTATCTGATGTCATGGGTGCAGTGCAATACACCTGCGCTCCCGTCCCCTCCACCAACTCTTCTAATTCTGGAAGCACTGCATCTGCCGCTTGAGACTCCATATGCCGCTGCTCCTTCCGGCTGAGACCCCCCTGCTCACTAAACCAAGCGGAGACTTCCTTGATTACTCCAGCTTGATATAGGGACCGCAGCCTGGGGTTGATGTCAGCTTCGATTGCGGCTTCCATCGCCATCCGATACCCTACGGCCTGGATCAATGGAAGGGCTAGGGGAAGGATGGTCCGGTTGAATGCTTCGCTGCGATGGATCCCGCCGATGAGATCGAGAGATTCCTTCGCCTCCGCGAACAAGCCTGCCTCATGCTGTGCTAGAAGACTTTCGGGGTCTTTAGGTGGTGGGACCTGGTAACGGCCGATCAAGAGCTCGCTTGCTAGGCCTGTTTCATGAGATAGTCAGCTGGTGGTCATCAACCATAGGGGATTGGACATACGGATGGCAAGAACTCTGATATCGCCTTCAGCTGTTCCCACAGCACGAAACTCCAACTAAAGAAATAAGGTTAGACAATTTGATCGAGCTGAAAACGACGGCCCTGCTTACTTCGGCTTGAAGAATCTGGTTGCGCTCATAGTATCCGTGCCAGCCGCAACCTTCGTTCAGAGCTTTTATGCTGGTCTGGAAGTCGTGGATAGCCACTGCTTTGAACGCTGTTGCGATTGCGTGACGTACGCGCGGATCGACCTTCGGGTCCCGGAATCCCACTGCCGCCTGGATAAGGAAAGCCTGCAGGACATGGACTCGTGCAATGGCGTGAAGGATGGGGAGGTGTTGCGTGCGAAAGTCAATGACGGGCATCGGCTGCCCATCGTGGCCGAGGATCTTCCGTCGGAAGCTGAATTTGCTGGCGTTGTAGAGGGCAATCTTCAGAAGTGGGATGCACCCACTGGAAAGGAAAAGCGTCCCCACCGATACACGGTGGATGGTCGCCAGGAAATCATCGCGTTCGCTTTGCGACTTTTCGAGATCACCCAGCAAGGCGGACGAGGGCAGCTGCACGTGGTCGAAGTATGTCAAGGCGTGGTCTATGGGTTGGGCGCCCGTTCGAGGTGGAAGGGCCCTACGTGGTTCTTGGTGTGAGTATGGAGAATCGGTGATAAATCGTTGAATACGTACTTTGAGGTGATGCCCGTGCACATCTGAGTTCCGTCTGAAAGGGGGACAAGGAATGGACGGATTCCTCTGTCCTCGCCCTCGACCATCAGCCGGGCAATGACCACAGCGATAGTGGGGAGGCCGCTGCGAGGGGTGGACGGTGGCATGCATCTGCGTGCAGGTCTTAGTACTGACTCGGGGGAAGCTTGGCCTGGGGTTGCTCACTTGGCGGCGGCCTTTGACGGCGTGTGCAGCTCAAAGCCACCATCTGGAAGCAGAGTCGCTGTGGTTTCGAGATTTCGTGCATCCAAGCCATGCCCAACCTCGGTAAGCATGAATTGGGCACTAAGAGCGGTCGGTGAGTTGACTCAATCTAAGAGAAGAGGGAGGGACACGCACGAGATATCGAATTTCATCGCCTGCTGCACGATCAATGCCAAGTCAGGCCTTGTGGCAGCAAACGGAGCGACCGTGCCGACGAAAAGGTTATACTGGATGCTAATCAGGGTGACCGCGCCACCGTCCATAGCACCGATCATGTCCGTGTGTAGCTTCCAGAAACTCGGGGTCAAGTACGCCACATCCTTCACCGTCAACTCTATTTCAGTCAGTCATGTTGCTCCAATATGGCGGCCTTGGGGGGTGAGTAGTACTATGTGCATCCGCCAACGCTCTTGCTCTTTGATAAGTGAGTCGCGTTCGTTCCTCGAGAGTCAGTGAGAGCGGTGAAGGTTGCATCAGTTCAGACTGTGCCAGTTCAAGGGTCGGTGAACGTTCGTGCCATATCTGGTTGTAGAGTGAACGGCACTCTGATTTGACGACAGGTTGGTCTGATCTCAACAGCGGCATGATGGCGGGGGGTGTGTCGATCGCTGCAGAACAATGTTTCCAAATGACATGCTCATCGCGGCAATGTGCATAATTTATACTCGGCCTGGTGATTGAAAGTCCGAAAGTCTGGACCGACTCTGCTTCTACAATGTTTGCGGCTAAGCTGAAGGGACCCCACATCTCTGCAGACTAAGAAGCAAAAATAGGGTTAGGAAGCGGCCGGGGAGGATCAGCTGCCCAAGGTTTGGCCGGAATAGCCGACGCCCGCCCCTCAAATACGAACGCCATAGGTGTTCGCCAAACATTCCTGCGCCACAAAGAATTTCTCTCAGCTGAACGAGTGGCGGATATGCGAAGGCCTCGTGTCTGGCTGAATTCCTGTGGGGCCCAATCTGACCTGTCAGGAAGGGAGTTCACGTATAAGATTGACTTCGCCTCAGCTCCGAGGAGCATCTGACGGCAAACACAGTGCGCGCAAACATGTTCGTCGCTGGTCTGGCAAATGTAGTGTCAGATCACTGGATCCTGGGAACCACCAGCCTGTTATTCTGCTATGTTTGTTGACTCCTCCGATTGGCCCCTTTCCCGCTCCTCCAGCGCCGGATCCTGACACCTCTAAACAGACAGTGGGTTTGGTTGTGTACAACCTATACTTCAGCCCTTTGGCGAAATTTCCGGGGCCTTTCTTTGCAAGGATATCGTCCTTGCCTGACTTTTACTGGTCACTTACCGGGAAACGACACCTTTGGATTGCCCGTAACCATGAAATCTATGGCGATGTGGTTCGCTTCCGCCCCGATGGGCTGCTCTTCAAGACACCCGAGGCCTATCGCGATATCTTCAACGCCAGAGCGAATGTTAAGCGATCTCAGTTCTATGACATGATGACACGGCACAAGAATGATCAGAGTACGCTTACAGGCACCGACCCCGCTCTGCATGCTCGGAAACGACGAGTCCTGAACACGGTGTTTTCTGACAAATCCCTCCGCTCGATGGAGCCGCTGCTGGAGTCGCACGTGGCCCGTTGGTGTGAGCTTCTCGTCGACGAAGAAGGCACGGAATGGTCGCGACCTCGAAAGATGTCGGAAGTATGCGATTACTTGGTCTTGGATGTACTGTGTGATCTCTGCTTCGGGCGAGCTGTGAACACCAAAGAACCCGGGGACAATGAGTATCGTCAGATCCCCCACATCATCGCGTTTTTCCTGCGCATACTATACCCGGTACGTTTACATCACGGTATGACGTATTGACACTATAGCTAATGTCTTGAATCCAAAAAGCTGGGCCACTGCCCCTGGCTCAACGCTCTCGTCTGGCTCAAACCCCGCGGCCTCGACTGGGTGCTAAGCAAAATCACACCCCCCAACGTGCGCTTCCTCTACAACTTCGTCGACCAATCCCTCGCGCAGCGCCTCGAGCTCGAATCCCAGGGGCAAACCCGTCCAGACATGCTGCACTACCTGCTCCGCGCCAAAGACCCAACCACCGGCCTCCCCGGCTACACGCGCGCGGCCCTCGAAGCGGAAGCCATCATGCTGACCATCGCCGGCTCCGACACCACTTCGGTAATCATGGCGGGCTTCTTCTTCTACATTGCCCGCACGCCGCACGCCTACCGCAAGCTAGTCGCCGAAATCCGGTCCACCTTCCCTTCAGTGGATACAATCCGGGGCGGGCCCACCCTCCTCTCCGGGTGCCCGTACCTCCGCGCCTGCGTCGACGAGGCCATGCGCATCACCCCAGCCGGCTCGTCGGAGCTGCCCCGCACTGTTCTGTCTGGCGGAATCACCATCGCCGGCGAGTTTATTCCGGAAGGTACGACCGTCGGCGTCGCGCACTGGAGCTTCTATCGCAATCCGGATTGTTTCACGGATCCGGACGTCTACCGTCCCGAGCGGTGGATCGTGGATCCCGTGGCGGGCGTCACCGCGGAGGACGTGGCGAGGGCAAGGGCGAGTTGTCTGCCGTTCTCGGTGGGGACGACGAGCTGCGCGGGCAAGAACTTTGCGTTGTTGGAGTTGTATTTGGTCATTGCGAGAACGGTGTGGTTGTTTGATTTGAGGTTGGTGGAGGGTGATCGGACGGGGGTTGTGGTTGGGGGGTGTTCTGGTGGTGGTGGTGGTGGTGATGACAGAGTGGTGGAGCAGGAGAGGGAGGTGTTTGGGTTGTGGGATAGTTATATTAGTATTCGGGATGGGCCGATGGTGCAGTTTCGGCGGAGGCGGGAGGTTTGATAGACTGTTCATATGGAACCATCCATTCACAAACAGTCACCTCACTCATATAAGCTGCCTTGCTTGCAGGAACTTTTTATATGGGAAATTCTTCTTACAAAGCACTAACCTCACTCAAACAAATCCCGGCACAATTTTCACCTCACTCACAAAAGTCCCGACACAATTCCTTTTGCTCATATACATCTCTCTTGTCGTGATATTTGAAGTCAACTATGCAGGCATACGCACGTGGAGTGGCCGTGCTCCGCATGCCCTCGGCCACGGGCCTGATCACGAGTGACCCGATGGCCAGAGCCCCGTCTGGCTTCATACAGAGAGGTGAGTGATTAGGAAGGTGGAACCAAGGAGGAGGAAGAGTAGGGCCTATCTGGTCCGAAGGGGTCCGAAAATCAGTGCGAGGGGGGTCAGAACAGCAAAAACATGCGATTCTATAGAGGTTTAGGGTAACTTAGAATTCTTAACAGGCTTCTCAACTTTTTATATAACTTTTTATATAGCTGTTTGGAATCGATATGATCCCCTCAACCCGAATGTAAAATAAGAGATTCTCTAAAGTAAGACCCTGTGTTAGAGCCTTTGGCTCCTCAGAATCCTAATATTCCTGATACAAGAAAAGGCTTGAACATTTATCTTAAACTAACGTGATTAAGACGGGCTCCTGGGGGGTAGAAGAGCCCCTCGCGCGGAGGAGGTCCTGGAGTGCTATAATTCAACATGATCTCTGAACCCCCTCGAACCGCTGATACCCTGAAGGATAGCTTCTACCGGGTCCCTAAACAGGTGGTTTGGTGGCATCTGAAGGCCGGCACAACCGGGACGGTTGCAAATGGGCACGGGGAAGCCCCACCGTGGTGTGGGTGTTTATGTTAGCGTTACGGAGAAGCTTTGATATATGTTCTGAGAGGGAATTATGTCAATTATCACGCCCTATAGATAGATACAGTGGCGGAAAAGCGCGTGATGTGGTCGCAACGCATCAATGGCAAAAACGGCAAGCCGCTAGCCCCTCCCCCGGCAAGTCTCACTAAGGCGAATTCGTGTATCTCGCGTTCTTTCTTTCTTTCTTTCTTTCTTTCTTTTTTTTTTTCTTGCTCTTTTTCCTTTCCCGTTTGTTGACATCGGAAAAGCTGTGGTTACATGTGGGAGTTCACTTCACTCACAACTACTTGCAGTACCAGGGGCTAAACAAGGTACCAAGCACTGCACCTCTGGTAAGAAGTTCAGCCAGGTACTTGTAGATCCTGACTACGTCCTCTTCCTTGGCTAATTTGATTTCAGGGCTACAAAAGACGACGTCGTCGGACACTTCTGCAAAAGTAACGGTGTCTGCGGTGACCAGCATGCCATGTAGGACACGGTTCTTTCCCTTGAGTTTGTTGTTGTGGTACGCAATCGCCAGAGCCATGGTGAAGTCGGCCTTCGCGACACCTCCCCAGTCCGGTCTGGCGGTCACCAAGAAGAAGGGACTGGTTTCCTCCTTCTCGGCGAGGTGGATCATCTGAAGCATGGGTGTGGCGCACATACGCAGCCTCTGGGTGCCTGTAGGTCCGGATTGTTCGATTGTGGCAGTCATCGGCGTGCCATGAAGGAGGCGAATCGCGGGCTTTGTGGGAGAGGACGACGATGAAGAAGGAGCAGCAGCAGCAGCAGCAGCAGCAGGATCTGGGGCCGCCGCGCCGAGCTGGGGTGGTTCCTTTCTCTTCAACGGCGCTTCTTTATCCAGTCCATCGAGGAAGCGAGTACCGGTAATACTGCAAGCTTGGAGGAGCGCCGGAATGATAAAGTAGTCCACCTGGTACTCGATCATGGAGTGTTTGAGTTGATTGTTCTTCGCCTCACGGATGATCACTTGGAGGTTTGTCCCTGGACAAAATATGACGATGGATTGATGGTCAGCTATGAGGGTCTTCTATTTGCCAAATGCTTGTAGTTTCGATCTAGTTGAGGACACAGGGGAGAGCTCTAGAAGTCACACAACATTCTCGGGAACCTATTCGACGTGAAGACCATAGCCCGCTCGTGGTTGTAGGTCGCGCTCCTCAGGTTGAACCATTCCAAGATATCGGTCACGGAGACTCTGGGACCTGCCGTGATCTATGGTCTCTGAGTCACTTATCCCCCAGTGCCTCAGAGTGAGGGACAGGAAATCCCTACCTCTTTCTCTTTTACTGGCTGGGTGTAGTCATTCTGGGTCTCGCCGTGAGTGCCGTGGATAGTAGCATCGTTGGCGTTGTTGGTGGTGTTCAAGCCCTCGAGAGCATTGAGGCGGTCGAAGAGAGCACGCATCTTCTTCCTGATCTTTTTCAGCTCGGATGCCTGAAAGGCTGCCATGCTGGGCTCTTTCATGATGATGACTGTCTAGATCTTCTTCGCTGCTGCGTGCGTGAGACAAGTCTTTATGGATAGAGCTCAGTGGGCGCAGAGGTTGATGTGGCAGAATGGTAAAGGAAACTCGTCGATGGGGTAATATTCTGTAGGGTGTGGTGTCAAGAAGTCAAGTGGGAAGGGTGATTTGAGCACGGTGGGAAGATAGTTTTTCGATAAAAAAGAAATGGATGGTCTTGGGCTGGGGATAGTTCGAGGTATCTAGTGAATATATTTTTTGTAAACAAACCGGGCAATATTCACTCAGATCACGACACAAGATAATTACCCCTCAGTTCATGGCCTACCTACCACTGCAGATACTAGAGCAAACGGGAAGATACTATCTAACAAGGGCTAATCAGTAACAACGATGACCAGCAACATCTACTTACAGTCCTATCCAGCGAAATGCATTCCAGCGGTTGTACCAAGTGCGCCTGGAATGGGCGGGGTATGCACACTACTGTATATATGAATAGGGGTGATAGAGGTTTATTTGCAAGCATCTTTCACCAACCAGCCCGGCTAGCTCAATCGGCAGAGCGTGAGACTCTTAATCTCAAGGTTGCGGGTTCAACCCCCGCGTTGGGCTTTACATTTTTCTTTTTGCTCCGTGTCTTGTCACCCCGTCCTCTAACGTTGTGACCCACTTGGATTCGGGTGCGGATACGGGACCCACTATCAGGGGATGGGGTTATAGCGTTGCTTTTCGCACGCCACAGAAGACCACAAAAGCATACAAAAGCGTAGTTCGTGGATTCAATTGATCATGATCTCGCTAAGCAATAGCCCTTTGCCCTTATCATCTATCGCCAGACAAAATATCATACATTCATGGGCATGAAATCGGCCTTTCCATGGTTGCGTCCGTAGCACGTCAAGACAAGCTGGAATATTCCCCATCTTCTATGCCTATACCCAACCAGCCCAGTCTGTAACGTTTGGCCCTCCAGAGTGGCCACCAGCCGCGCGTGACACCGCACAACAGTGCTTGACTGTCGAATCCTCAAGGGGCCAACCTGATAGCCAAAGGGGGTGACTCAACCACCCAGGGCAGCAGCTCCAACATCCATGCCCGCAGGGCGTAGAAGTCATTGATATCGTCTATGCTGCAAGGTAGATTGTTGTCTATGTAGAATCAGTATGACCGTAATCTGGTTGACAATGAAATATGTGTGTCAGGGTGGGGAAGAAAGAGCAGCTAAGACTTACCTGCATCAGAGCAAACGAAGTCGGGCACCCGGTTCAAGAATTCGGCCCACTTCAGTCGCGCATCTTCACTCTCCCACGGTCTTTCAGTGGCTGTTATATACATCTGTTAGTATTCAATGGTTCTGAACTTGGGGACTGGGGAATACTACTGACGAATATATCCCTGCGCATCGTCCCCCATCCCGGATACATCCAATAAGTGCGCATACTTGTCATGCATTATCATCATCGCGTCCCGGAAGAAGTCCCGGCGAGTTTTTGATCGTTCAAGAATGATGAGAAGCCTTTCGGGGCAGTCGGGGAGGGTGCATACATATTCCCCTTCCCCATACAGGTGTTGATGGTGGTCAGAGTCGCTGTCACTGGGGTAGTCGCCGTCGCCGTCGCCGTCATCATCATCGTCAACGCCGCCGCCGTATCCCTCTTCGTCTTCGTCATATTCATCATCTCCTTCATCTCCTTCGTCATCTTTATAATCTTCATTTTCTCCTTCTTGTTCATCATGATCTCCATATTCTCCTTGCTCATCACCATACCCATGATCACCACGGCCGTGCTCAACATTTCCAACACTCAGCCAAAATACCAGCTGATGGCCCATGTAAGTAGTCCGCCTGACAACCTGAAGAAAATTCCTGGTGAAATAAACTCTTCCTCTCAGACCAGCTTCATAACGATCATATCGGCTCTCCCCTTCATCCTGGCCATCTTCGGTTTCTGCATCCACATGGTCATCTTCGGTACCTGCTTCCGCATCCGTATCAACTGTAATCTTCATCACTTTCATGGCCGAGCCGGTAGAAAATAGGTAGAGCAGTGCCTTGCCTCCACGTCCGTGGCGGCGGGGTCGCTTGGTTGATGACTTCGCCGGTGCGGATGGCTTCATCCTGTTCGATGTCCTCTTCGTGGTTCGAAGAGGTCTAGGAAGACGGGGGCACACATGTTGGCTGGTGGATGGAAACTGGGGAAGTGGTGGGGGGAGCTTGTTGGGGTTTTGGGAATGAGAGTGGAAGAGGGTCGTGGTGGATGGACTTGATGGATGATGAAGATGGCTGATGAAGTTGATGGATGATGAAGTTGCTGAATGTCTGGAATTGCTGAAAAGATCGAGTTGGTAAATAGATGGAGCTGATGAATAGATGGAAGAAAGATGGAAGACCAGGGAGGGAGCAAGAAGATGTTACTGACTCTAGCACAATCCCATCGTGACTCACTGGGAATTACTTGCGCAATCTTTATCTACAGGTTGAAGACTTTCTTCATTTTCTTTTTCTCGCGATGTCATTGGTCCCTCAGAGAAGACCTGTGATGGATGCATGAGGTCGCCAGTTAGGGCGGCCAACCAAGGATACCCCGTGAGCACGGCCTGTCACTCTGATTCCCCTTCAACTTCAAAGCCAATCGCACGATGCAGGGTAACAGTTCTTGCATATCGCTCTATAACATAAACTTAAGCCTGAACGGATGGGACAAAGAACTGTAACCATCACGAAGAAGAAACGCACCTATTATTTTGACAATATATGCGCGCCTTTGTTTTCAATGCAACAGGCTGTAAGGCACGTCTGGCTTATCATTATGACCTATCATTGTGGCTCTTTCAGTCTGTAGCAGCTATCATCGCTATATATGCTTGGCTAATACAGCCGGCAAATAGCTAACCCTGCGCAAAGCTTTGCCTTTGAAATGACCTGACATGAAAGAGTTGTTCTCAGTACATTCAGGAAATGAAAAGTATTCTTACTCTCCGGAACTCTCAGCCAGACCTGGTGGCAGCTGTACCTGATTTCCTGCGTATATAATGTTTCTATCTTCTGCTTCAAGAGAAGCGTTATTCACTCCGTTCGAGTTATTTGAGTTGATGAGGGTTCTAAGTTTGTTGTTGAAGACACAGTGGCTGTGCGAAGAAAGTCTGGAATTCCTCCCAGAGAAGATGGCTTGCTGACAACTTTGCGTACGTCGCGTTGACATTTTCTATGCCTTCTTTCATGGTAAGAAATAACTGTGGACCGAGATCCAGAGATCCCTCTTGACTGGACGATCTTCCACAGGCTGGATACTTTTGTCGACGGTCAAAAATCGATCTAAGTTTTCATGTTCGCCATCGGGGTTAAAATTCCAGCCCCCTCTTTCGAAGCATAATGCTTAGTCCGCCTGGGGATAATCATTCTCATCGAGCTTAGTAGACTGTATAACCGAGTCCTTCCTACCTGGGTGCTTCGCTCCGACAATGTTACTGCTTTTAACAGGGCTTTCCCCCATGTCATTATAGTCGGCCCAATGTTCAAGACCGCCATGATCCGCGGTTACCTTTTTGGCCCACCGTAAAACTTCCGAAGCGACAGCATCAATCTTCGGTGTTGATAGTCCATTAGGAGATTGGAAATGTCTCGCATTTGTCGTATGTGATGCTCTTAATCCCCTGCTTGAGTCGTATCCGGTCCAGGCTGAACTCGGAAGTCCGTCACCGGGTTGATCCGTTCTTGGTTGTGTTGATTATATTCGGTCCGAAGGAATTGATATGCTGGGTGATCTTCCGCATATACTCAGTTCCCGCGGCACTAGTTTGGGTAGGGTGCGTTTCCTACTTCGCGATGGCGCTTTACCCTGATTTCTGCCTCGGCCCACCTTCGTAGGGCCAGAATATCACCCGCCTTCTCAACAGATTACGCCAGTCCCGAACACATCAAAGGCCAGTTGGTTTTGCTTGATCCTATCTAGGTTTTGTACTCTGGTAGCCATTCGATGGCCGCGTCGCCCCGCGTAATAGAATATCAAGACCATGATTTGAAGGTCACGGTGGCTGGGATGTATAGTGCCGGTAGCGATCATGTCATCATCGTGATCAACCACGGCGTTTTTGAATACAAAGAGGGTGATCATTGAGATTTTGCACCCGTGCTCTTCCGGTAGTGCTCAGCTGGATAAACGTACCATTTGCTGGACTATCGGACATTCTCTCTGAGCTGGGTTGTTCTGATCATGGGCCTTTAAATTTAGCCTATCGTGCCTTCGAAGATAGGACAATTTGTTCTCCAGATCAGTTTGGAGTGTGCCATCAGACGTGGAACCCATTGGCTGTCATTCCAATTATTTCAGTAGCGAGTTGCGCGAAGCGTCCGTACAAAGGAGACTCAGTATAAGGTAATAAATCGGGAAGGGTCAAGCTCTCCAGATGTTGACCGGGACTTTGGTTGTACCGACTTTTGGTAGCATCAATCGCCCTCAGAGCTTGCCAGAAAGCAGTCTCTGAGGGAGACTTCAGTAGCAGAGGAGTGAGCCTTACCGGTGATGGGAGGCGACATAGCGATGTGTTTGTCACCGATACGCTTCACAAACCAGGTCCTCTGGAAATAGTCACAAAGCCGTAGCGGGCATAGTTATCGTCCATGTACCGCGCTAGCTGATCTTCTCTGTACTTCACAACTTGATGTTTAGTATGTGGAAAAGACGCTGAGAGATGCCGCATCACCATGCTATAAGATGGCTTCATCGTCGGGATAGGGCAGAAAAAGGACAAGAATCAGAGCAGAGGTGTTGAAAGAGTTAGGCACAAAGGATGTAGAACGAAATGTGTCAGCAACATGATAGTCCAGAGAAAGGCTGATACAAGTATGATTCATTCACTTTGTAATTTGTGTGTCGATTTCCGCTTATGTGGTGAAATATTCATGTTGATTCCCACTATATGTGAATATCATCATCCGGGAATGCGGCAGTACCAGACGGCAGGGCAGACGGTCACACGTTCTCATTCGCTATCCAAAGATCCATAGAAAGGTCAATTGGGACTCGTATCCCTCAACACCCAGTTTGTCAATATCCGGGAAGAAAGTTGATATCGTTCTTCGAAAATGGATTCCACCACGAAAGATCAATTAACCCGACTACTTCAGCCCGTCCAGGATACCGATGACATCAATTACGTCCTTGACAACATCGACTTGACTGAGGAGACAGCGCTGATGACGACCTTGGCTGTGGCTTCCTCTAGACAAGGACAGAATTTGTCGCTTAGATCCGCGAGCGATGTCCGACAAGAAATCGAAGCGAGATCCGAGACGATCTATACCGCTTATGACACCCTGCACAAGATACTGGAGCGCCACGAGGCCACTCTCTCGAAGAGATGGTTGAAGCGAACACGCCAGCAGAGACTCAAAGTCCTGCTCGAGGCTTGGCCAGATATGCCGGTCGTTCATCGCCCCGATCTTGATGTCTGGCGTAAAGCGTGCAACGGGAAACGAGAGAGGGGGCCGCGGTTCCGTGACAGCTTGGTGTGGCCATATATCAACCAGGAGGACCTGGTGAGCCCCAAGGCCATATTGTTGCTTCTCCACTCCAGAGGCCGTTATCCACCGTCAAGCTTTGCGGCGGCAGATGCGGTCGCGATGACTTTTGGGCTGGTGAGCCAAATGCTTATGCCGGACTACCTAAAGGATACGAGTACTTGTTACATGGCTCTGAACGGTTTCGATGAGAACACTCGCCAGTATGGCGAGCTTGTCATCTGTGATGACGCTAAAGGGTTCGGGCGCAAAGTATTGAAGCAATTCACGCCGGGGCACGGCCTTCTGGTTTTGGAAGCCCAAGCGAGACTGTTGACCTTCCTTGTGAAGTGCTGCCGCCAATTACTTCCAGATATTCCCGTGGGCGACTTCGACGCCTTCCCCATCCTCCCCCCACCACAAATCAAGACGGAGAGTGAAGTGAGCGGCTTTGAATCTCTAAGACTGATGGCAGCAGAAGCTCCCTATCGTGTGCCTGCACAACTCGACCTGGGTCGCATCGAGTCGCTCCTTGCAGCCCGCACCTCGGCCGCGGAAGACCACCTCTGGGCCCTACGCGAAGACCCCGAATATTTTGCCAGCGCCGTCCTCGGCCTGAAAGAGCATCGCCCCGAAATGCTGAAGGATCTGCGGGGCCGCGACCATCCCGATCTGCGCCACAGCCGGAAGAACGTGTTCTGGGGGCGGGTTTTGGCGCCCGTGGTTGGCAACGCCTACCTGAATGTCGAGATCTTTCACCAGCTAAGCCAACAAGCCCGGGCTCTGGTATCCCTGCAGCACCAATATGCAGCCCAGATCTCACCATCTCAGGATCTGCCCGAGGAGTTCCTGACCGCTTTGCTGCGGTTACGCCACGATCTGGACGAGGCAATCGCCAATCCTCTGCACATGCTGCGAGAGACCTTCCGTCCCTCCCCACCCTTCCGCAGATTCTTCGTGCGCCGACAACCCCACGATCCGGACTTTTCACAAGGTGCTGTCGGGGCTAGACCTGGAGCCAAACCCACGGCCGTGGAGCAGAAGTTGCTCTGGCTGCTTGAAAACATGTTCGGTAACCAGCTAGTACTGACACTAGCCGGTGCGCCGTTGATCATGGATGAGGTCGAACGCCTGCTCGAGGACGAGCCAGGGGCACGAGATCTGATCACCCCTTGGCTAGCTGGCCTTATCGGCGATCTCTCGATCCTTACAAAGTGTCTCGGGGAATTGGCACTGTATCAGCCATGGGCGCGAAGCTGGGTTCACAGTAGCGTGGCACACAAGTGGTTTGAAGAAGACTACAAGAAAATGACTCAACCAATGTGTCAGATTTTTGACAAGATCGGTGAAGCAATTCTCGACACGAAAGATGCCAGTCAAGCTGTCGTTCTGGGAGACCCGTCTGGAGGGCAATTCGCGTATCCGATTGAGAAGCGCCGGACCAAGGAGAACGTGGCGATACTACGGCAGGCGGAAGCCAGATTGGATGCGTTCTGGAGGCTGATTGACGAGGCTCTGGCGGACAGACTGCCAGGCACCGCATCGCACAAGGCCCTTTTCTCTCAATCGTGCGGTCTGCAACGGACACCAGAATGGGAGGAGCCCACGCCTAAGCCTCGACCGCAACCCGCAGCGCAGCCCAAGAGCGATAGCACCAGTCCGTACACCTCCTTCCTGCCCAGTTGGCTATTCCCCAGTAGTGCCGATGACACTAGCACAGCCCAGCGACCGAAGACCAAGGTCAAAACTCGCGGAACAGCACGGTCTGCCTCCACACAGGACCATGGCGCCGAAGCGCTCCTGGAACCCATCGGTGCAGAGACTCAGCCAGCGTTCTCCGTGGATGCGCGCTCCCTCAAGGTCTTTCGGAGTTTGTTCCATGACCCGGAGCTGACGTCGACGCCGGGCGAGGTGCGTTGGAATGACTTTCTTCATGCTATGAAGTCGATCGGTTTCGCGGGCATCCAGCTCTACGGCTCTGTCTGGCAGTTCGAGCCCACTGTTTTCGATCTGGAACGAAGTATCCAGTTCCATGAACCGCACCCTAGCGGAAAAATGCCGTATACCATGGCTCGGCGGATTGGCCGTCGGCTGAACCGGGCATACGGCTGGCATGGGGGCATGTTTGTCCTGGCTAATAGTAAAGAATAGGCTCTGGCATCGTTCCGGGGTTGGCTCTTGGTCTCTAGGTATGAAGCTTGTTGTTTGGTCCCTTTAGTTCAGATTAATCTATCCGATATAACATATAATTCAAGGATTTCCTGCGTGCTGTTAGAGTTAAGTCAAGGAAAGTAAATTTTAATGCATATACACTCCTTTTTGCCTACACCATATTTGTGTTTTCAGACCGACCTTTGAGCGAGAAACGTGTACTTTTCACAAGTTTCCGTTGTCATGAGGGCTCATAACCTGTCGAAGAAGCCGGTTGTATTCCTAGCTGAGCCGTGTGCCAAAGACCACTCGTCTGCAGCAACACAGGCTATGTGACCTCCAACTAGTGAGTCCATCTTTCATTGCGTGGAGAACAAGTACTGGCCCCGCCTCAGGTTGTTGTGTCGTTGAGATCAGGCTCGCATCGGCACTGGTATGCTGTCATATAATTGTGAAGAAGACTTGCTTACCTCCCATGGGTAGAGCCTGCGCCGAAGAAAGATGCAGCAATAGTTTTCCTGTCGTGCTGGATGTATGTTTTGTATCATATGATGATACATGAGGGCTTACTTACTCCCCTCCGCCTTCTCATTCTTCGGGTCCCCCCCCTCTTTCTCTTTCCGATTCTGCGCTTTACGATCGCGCTTTTTCTTCATCTCTTCGGCCTTCCAGGCAAGATGGAATGAGTAATCACCCTTCTCGGCTTTCTTAATGCATTTGCGCAAGCCAGTTGAATAATCATGCGGTCCTCAAGATTCTCTGCGTCCATTGCGACACAGTTCTTCCAATCCCTCCGGCCTCTGTTGGCAAGCGAGGCATACGTCCTCGCCTTTGAAGATGGATTCCCGGGTCTGCAACAGCTTCGTTTTCCTGACAGCTGGTCTTTTGTTGTGTTTGTTGTAGCTATAATATTGAGGTTTATCGGGGCCACGCGTCGGCGGGTCTGGCCAATATGGTTCGATGCGGAATAAACACCACTTATAGCTTGATGTGCCACTCACTGCCTATTCGGACTTAGAGATGTAAGGTTTGTTGTGGATATTGAACTCGTGCACTATAGTAATGTTCGAGGCTGAAGGGGGCAGGTGGTCGATGGCGGGGATGGTTTTGGCGGGTCTGGAAAGCCCTGGTCAGAACTGAGGAGGTCTGTCTGCGTGGGTCTGGAGAGGTCTGGAACGATGTAGCAACAATTCAAACGAACGCCAGGGCTCTCGGGATCTCATATCATTTATGCAGCTAAATGCAAGAAGCACTGCCATAGTGTCATACTCTGAGGGTCATATGGATCGGACCTTCGAATGACCTCCGAGATGTATAACAGAGTGCTGTACTCTAGTGGAGGAAGGTATCCCTGCTTCAAGAAGATTGTTTCTTCGTAGTTGGTGATGAATGTGTATGTGAGCCTAGAAGACTTTCATAGACAGGTGCAACTTACCTGTTGGATTAGAAAGGTAGCGGAGCGGCGCAATAAGGTCTTCCACCCCAGAGGAAAGGGAGATTATTGATTCCTGCTTCGACATGCTCCGTTGACATTCGAATACACCCTTTGAGGCGACAGAACGAGTGTGTATTTGGAAGGATGTATGCCTTAGGATGATGTGGATGAATGTCCAGTCACAGGTGGATGTTGTGCCTTAATGAGACAAGGCTTTTCTGAGGGCGCCAACTGCTGATATGTGGCTTGACGTTTCAAGAAGCCTTCGTAATTGAAGTCTGATGAGCGGTGCCTAGTCGATGTCATTGAGGATAGCTGCGAGCACATCATTTAGTGAGATACTGGACAGTGGAATATGATCTCAGCCTTCAAGATAACATATTAAGCCCGGCGCAGCATGAAGAGCAGTCTGGCTAGATGCCAGAGTTGGGAGCCTATATCATGGGTTGAAGTAGTTGGAGACAGGAAAGAAGGATGTATGTTGGGAAAAGAGATGGGAGAAGGAATAGCGACGAGAGTAGGGGAAAGTGAGAGTTTTGTATCCACATAGCAAAACTTAATAGACATTATTAACTTAAGGGCTTATTCACTTATCTTATCATCTTTGAAAGAAGAGCTATGAAGTGAATTTGCTGTCTTGATTCACTGATTCTATTGAGCCATTGTCTACTTTCTTCCCAGCTTGTATCAAATTCTCCGAGGCTGCGATTCACTGACTATGGCATTGTGATTCATCCTACTCCATTGAGAACTAGACTACATCTCTTCCAACATTTCATCTTCTTTGTTTCTTCTCCCTCTTCCAGCCTCCACCAGTCTTCTCTCTTCTCATCATCCATCCTTCCCAACAAACCAATCTGCAAAGAAGGTCAGTGGTCTTTCCAACTTTGACCCAGAGTCTTTTTCATTTATATTTGTGTATCTGAGATATGCTTGGCAGACCACACAAACAGCCTCTAAGTTCCACAAACGAACACAAGACCGGACTGGCGCCCACAGGGTCTCGTGGCGAACGCCTGTTGCCCCCTCCCCCCCCCCCCCCTTCCAAAACAACCGCGCGCGATGCAAGCCTTGTTCGATTCGATCAAGGGCTGTGTAGTATTATCTACTCATACGAAATATTATGGCGGTTCCTGCGACTCCACAAGCCTTCCTGCATCTGGTGGGCACAATTAGCATTATTTGAAGCCGGCAATGGAGAGTAGGGTACCCTGCTCTTCGTCGAGCTGCCCTCTACGGCTTTTTTCACCGGCTGTAGAGAGTCAGCACCCGCCGTGGTATCAGGCCCCCTAAACCGACAGATAGCCCTTGTCTAGTCGTGAGCGGTCGTGAATCCGCAAGCCTATTGCATAGTCTCTACCGTACATTGGGTAGTCGGATTATACGCAACTGGCCGTCCAACCCAGCTCTGTAAGGGTCCTCGTGTCTAGTGCTGACCGGTAGCCACAGCCCAATCAGGCGTGTGGATAGATACTGTCGCGACCCATCCAGCGGATGGGCGTTCCGCGACTGTATCAGTGGAGGAATTGGACAGAGGTGCAGCGATTGTTTGCACGCGTGTCAGGTGTCTACCCCTCCCTCACGCGGAAGTAGAGCCGGTTTGTTCCCAAAAAATGCATGCTGCACTGCGCATTGAGTCCTAGGTTCCGCGGTTGCAAACTCCTCTTTGCTTGAAAACTTTCTTATCTGAAAGCATTGCTGGACTCAACCCGACTGTTCTATCGTCATTCAAGAGATTGCTGGTGCGTTGGTGCACTACAGAGCACCCAATAATGACGTTCAATACATGTATGTGGTCTATGAAGAAGTGCAGAGTGCGAGACATGTCGCGTCAAGTACTGCTGGCTGTATCGGGTATTACGGTAAGCTTATTCGGGTCCAACCACTGCAGAAGGAACATACGATTGGCATACACTACAGCAAAAGTGTCGTATACCAACGCACGCTATGCAGAGAATTGCAATAGACTAGCGGATGAAATGTCAACCCAGATGTTGGAAATGAGAACTTGGATCGATTGATAGTCGTTCATCGTACCACAGCCTCCGAAGTCCTGTTACCCAAGACGGAGTTCAATGCACGCAACCCATGAGATGTCTACGGGATTGAGGAACACATGAAAGATGCAAAGCCAGCCATGCGCAATCAGCTGCGGAAAGACTATATGGGCAAAAAACGATACTGACAAGCATTCCCAAAATGGAAGATTTAAGGGGAGTATCTCGTTCGCTATGAGGTTCTGTTCAACGTATTAACTAATGAAGAAGAGGTTATAGAAGCATCAGAGCCTTCCACAGTGGAGGACTTGCAGAACCACCCGGAATCCGGACAGGCGGATTGACTGCAACTATAGTCAAGAAGAGTCTGCAAAAGCTGAGTGGTTCCTACTTAGCTCGTGAAGAGTTTTACAAGTCTTGCGTCCCATTGACCTCATTAACGAGGCCCAGAAGTTATATTTCAGCGACGCCCAGGTAGAGGCTACGAATGGTTGATAAAGCTTAAGTGATAGCTGCCAAAGCCCTATGAGGACATCGAGTGGGAACCAGGACCCAACGTACTGCGAATGAGAAGCTCAGAACCTTCCAGGCGAAGACAGCCTTAAGCGACACGGCCACCTTGAAGAGGAAGTACAGAGAAATTATCGAAGCTAATCAAACCCGCGATGACCTGTGGAATGTTATGCCTCCAACTCCGTCCAGCAGAAAACCCAGTTACAAACGAGACGAATACTTCCGCGATCTTCATAATAACGTGTTAAACTCTAGACAAACCTTTCTTTTTCTTAAGCTACCATAAAGCCGGGGTACTCTATGTGCTTAACCTATGCTGCCTGCTTCGCAATAGCATCCAGCATATCTCTACTGAGAGATATTATTCGGGGCCTGGATTATTATGCCATGGCGAAGACAAAGTAGGTATAACTACAAAATTAGGAGTCCAACATGTATACGCGCAGAATAGAAAGATAGCAAACTGAATGCATTGGTCTCTACAGAGACTGTTATCCAGGCTGAAAGAAAGTACTCTCTCCTGCGAAGCAAATCTTAACAAATCCAAACGAAGAAAATCTAAAGAGTCAGCTATTACACCTGCATCCCTATGGGTCAGTGCTGCTGAGCAAGGTTAATCATCCGCTTCCAAACACCCGGCGAACGTAACGCGACCCGGTACAAAGGCGGAAGAATTACAGACGGGTGACGAGCCCAGAACATCCTCTGCGAGATAACAATGAAGTCATGCTCCTGGTAGTGCCAGAGAAAAAAGGCGGTGTTTCTCACTTCAACCGTGCGACGAACCGACGGCACGGCTGGATCATCTGCCCAGAGAACCGACGGATATACGCCGGGGAAGAGGAACTCGGAGTGAATATAGGCCGCCACATGCTGCAGTCGAACAAAGTCCCCGTCCGGGGTGCAATCAATGCCTCCCGGATCCGAAATGCTGTCGCGGGGCAAGTATACTTTGGCGATATTCCAATCATACACGAATGAGGTCGGGGGCTGCTGGAGCAGCATCCTGCGCCAGCTTGCCTCGGGGCGTAGATAGGCCTTGTCGATCTCTTCCGATTCGATCAGTGGAAAGGCGGAGAAGTAGGCGGCACCTACGAGACGCGAGAAGAGACGCTGGTGGAGAAAGTCGTGCCAGACCTTTTTCTCTACTAAGGGGTTCTTGGCTTGGGCCTGGCCGGGTACAGGGTCGGCTGGACGGAAAAATAGTGCCTTCTGGATGCTTGGGGAGGATCTGATGAGGGCGTTCCACGTGCGACAGACTCGCGTTGAAAGGAGCAGTGTCTTCATGTCCAGGCCCAGCAGGATCATTTCGAGGATCGCGGGGATACGGAAAATTCTGTGAGCCATTGGATGTGAATTTTGTATCAGATCGCTTGGGACGGGTGTAGAGACGGGTGTAGAGATCTGTTCAAAGAGGCCCATAGTCGGGGAGCTTGGATTATTCATGGCGTCGCGAAGGGCATGCTAGTCGAGTTGGGGGAATGCTGTTGGCTTGATGGGGAGTTGTACTGATTTACATTACTACAGATGATATATATTGCAGCCTCAATGACTCAGATTTTGCGGGGTTTATGACATACTACTCTCATGCCCCACGGAATTGTCTTCCGCCAAAAAATTCTAATGTAACCACCGTCCAAATGACCTGCCAAGTGTGTAATCGTAGAGCCAGCGCTAAGATGAGGACTGCTCTGAGAATACAAATTGTAGAAAGAAGATCAAAAACAAACACAAAAGAAGAGAATTATCAAGGTCTATGCATACAGGAGGACGATAAGGACTAGTATCATATAAAGAAAAGCGCTACGCTCGAAAGGGTTCTATGATACTAGGTAGTAATTATGTCTTTATGATTATCTTACACTCATTACTATCTTCGAAGATTTGGTAAGATTGAAAGATAACAAGAATATACATAAATTATGCGGGAATAAAACGTCTACAAGCATAATAAACATCGTTTAGAAGAATGCTTCATAGTAACGATCACTGTAGGTTCTTCACATTCGATGGTCTCCATTCTCTTCGAAAATATCATTAACATTTCATAAACCTAGTTCATAATCCCGTGACGAACCCCAAACCTGTCTTTGTAATGTGATCCCCTATCCACAATCACTATCCTATCCGGGGAAAGGATTCGCTATACAACCCATCAATGCATCACCCTCACCAGAACCCATCATCCGGCCCCGGACCAAAATCCGGCCCCGGGCCAAAATCCCCAGGCGGCGGACCATCAAAGTCGTGCTCCAGATGCTCGATCCCCTCGCCCAGAAGCAATCCTCCCAGCAAACCACCCCCGATTCCCAATGCTGCGGCACCGCCCATACCCAGCCCCCGCTTTTTCTTCTTCTGCTCTGGCTGAGGCTGCGGTTGCTGCTGCATGGGCGGCTGGGCGTATTGCGCGGGATATTGATTAGGGTAGGGGTTTTGATATTGGTTCGGGTATGGATTGTTGTATTGGTTGGGGTACTGGTTGGGATACTGGTTGTAGCGGTTGGGTTGCGGAGGCGGGGTGTTGTAGTTTTGGGGCGGGTACGGATTGTTATTGTTGTTGTAGCCGTAGCCCGGCTGCGGTGGGTAGGGGCTTCGGCTGTCGCGGTTCGGCGGCCACGGGGAGCCTCTGTCATTGTTCGGGGTCCTGCGACCTGTGCTGGCATCGTAGCTGGGAGGTGGGCCGTTGGGAGGGGGTGCAGGGCGATCAGGCTGGGCTGGTCGGTCGGGACGTTCCCATTGTGACTGTCCTGTGTGCAGATTGACATAGTACCTGTGGGATTGGGTTATTAGTATTCTGCGAGTATCTGGAAGCGCGAATTTTGTTTGCCGCAAGGTCTTCGCACCATTCCTGGTATCTATCGTCGAACTGAGGGCGCCAGCCCTCGGGCACACGAGGCATAGGTGGTGGTGGTGGCATTCTTTTTCAGATTGTGATGTTCTGTGGTGAGATGAGACCGAGACGATGGTGGGGTAGAGGCTGGCAATATATACGGGGCGGAAAAGGGTTACTCCCTGCATGACATCATATTTCATGGGTGCCTAACCCGGGCCAAGAATATTCGGCACGGTGCTTCCGCAAAGCTTATGCTGTTAGGGCGGCCGATCCCCTTGTTGTTACCCTTGGCGGAGCAAATAGGTCATTTCTATGGAGTCCCAGGCACCGATGTTCGGGGACTTCCGCAGGATTCCGAATTCAGGAGACTGAGAATGATGCCTAGTGCATGCAGAGAGATATCTAGACTTGATTTTGCTCGTCACTAAGGTTCTATAGCCTTCCGGCATACCTCACCTTAAGTAGAGGCACCGCCATTAGGGTATATATTTCTTCCATTTCCGCCTCTGCAACGTAGCGACAAAGTCTTGTCATACCACCTCAACCAGCGTCAAGTCGTCCCATCCCACACATCATGTCAACAGAGACTCGATATCAACCACCAGTAAGCTTCCGTTCTCCCCGTACCACAGTTCTACAAGTGCTTGAATTGACCATAACCTCCTAATACAGCCCGGACCGCCTCCGAACCACCCCGAATACGGCGCACCGCCTTCGGCACCGCCACCGCCCGGACCGCCCAACAACGCTTGTTACCCCCCGGCCTCGAGTTATCCCCCTGTCTCGGGCTATCCGCCGGGGGCTGCACCGCCACAGTCCATGCAGTACTCGGCTCCGATGCCGCCGCAACAGCCTGCTCCAGCCACACAGAAAAACATCAGCGGGGAGGAGGAATGCTGCGCAGGGTTACTTTCGGCTTTTGCATGCTGTTGCTGTCTGGATTTGCTGTTGTGATTGCTGTCGACTTGAGAGCGAAGACGCTGGCTCGGGCAAGTGGGTATTTCGTGTGGTACGGAAGACCATTGGATACCTGCATAGAGGCGGCATATGTGAGATGGATGTCGAGGACATGCGAGGATTGAAATTAACCATGTGACTGATTACATTTAGGACCATGTTGCATCAATTTAAAGCCCATAATATAAGTTGGCCGGATGGTGTAGTTGGTTATCACGTATCGTTAACACCGATAAGGTCCTGGGATCGAGCCCCAGTCTGGTCATTGCTTTTTTCCGCTTGGCGCTCTGAGGATAGGAGAGCCAGGTTGCCTCAGTCGCGATGGTTTTTTTTGTGAATGGGCATGCAAAGTGAGGCCCTTGGCGAGGGATTTCTATCCCAAAGTCAGTGCACCTACCTAACCACCTGGGCGTCAGCCAACTTGTAACCAACGCAGCTGGGACCCTGCTCAGGTATCCGCAGATAAGACGTGCCTTCCAAGGCAGCGCCGACACCGCTTTGCACGACTTGTTTTCTCTGCAGACCTACCTTTGTTTAGTCCACCCTGGTCATAGTTTATTATCACATTATAATGAGACCTGAGCTTATGCGACACTAAAGAAAGTTCCGCATGTCGCACCTATCCGATATCGTGTACAAGGCGCTGACGGCGCTGGCGCGGTTGGCTTTGGGAATGTCGGGCGTGGTTGGGAACATGTGGATGGGGATGGGGATGACCAAGGCGTCGGGCAGGTCGTACATGATGCATTGGAAATGTTGTATTCTTTGAGGGCGGGTGGTGGGGATGTAGCAATGGAGAAAGAGGATTCAGTTTGATGATGATGTTGATTGTTTTCCTTGGAAATACTGTCTGATGTACGGCTTATGACGATGACGATGACCATGGTGTGGTGGTGGTAAGGAGGATAGATCGTGCATAGGTTGGATTTTTTGATATATGTGATTTCGGTTCCGGGGAGGGTCTGGTTGTCCGCTGATAGACTCCTGCTGCAGAAGCGGTTATCAGGGGATGTACTGGTAGTTTTCTCATGTTTGTGTGAACGTTTTGTCTGTTCCAAAGCTGCGCTCGGTAGATTGAATGTACTGAATTACTTGTGTCCTACCTAGTATCGAAGAGCTTACTCGAAGATCTTCTGGACACCCCTCCGTCTTGGACGTTCGAGAATTTATTCACTGTCATACTGTCGTACCACTTCTTGAAATGGATACAGCTAGATCGACTGCACAGTGAGTCTGATAGATAGAAATTAAAGGTACCTTAATTACAAGATTAGGGATCAGAAGCTACGTGATCTGCCATGATACAGCTAAGTAGGGTGTCTACAGTATCGTTCAGTAGACTGTAGACACACACACACACACACACACACACACACACACACACACACAGACACAGAGAGAGAGAGAGATCAAGAAGCCAAGATCATTAACTCCAAAGCACATCCCGCGCAGCTTCATGCCCAACCTTAACAACCAACCTACCCTCTCCCATCATATTCACCACTGCTGCCATCCCCACCCCCCCGACCGAACCGCGCCCTCAACCCCCTCGCCGCATGCGCCCCCAGCGCGGCCAAATCCGCCGACGCCATGATCTCCAGCACGCTGATCTCGAGCCCCAGAGTCGCCTTCCACCAGGCCCGCAGCTCCACCTCCGCCGCCAGGCTGTCGAACCCGAGATCCACCAGCGAGCGCGCCAGATCGATCTCCGCCGCGTCCTGAACCGGCTTGAGTAGCAGGTCGAAGATCCACTTCGCGATCTCCGTGGCCAGGAAGGTCGTCGTGGCCGCCGCTTCCCATGTGCTCGCGTCGGTGGTAGGGGACAAGGTCGACAGGAAGTGTTGGAGGGCGGCGTCGCTGCTACCGTTGCTGCTACCGCTCGCCGGGGTGCCCTCTGCTGCGCCGTAGTCGTCCTCCCCGGCGCGGGGGTGGGTGTAGACGGCTAATCTCCGGTCGACGAAGGAGGCGCGGTTGCGGATGGCGTCCCGGAAGTGCGGGGTGCGGTGGAACGCGGTGATGAGTTGGGCGGGGTTGACGTACCCATGCGGAGTGGGAGGCGGAGGATGCGCTCCAGCTGGCAGCCCGCAGTCCGAGATGGCGAGGGTGATGGCCTGGAAGAGGTCGCGGGGCGACATGACGGCGCCGTCGAGCCAGCGCGAGCGCTCCAAGATGGCCGGGTTGTGGGCGACGTGGCCGATGCCCTCGACGGCGCCGATGTCGACGACGGCCGCGGGGAGCCGCTGCGCGTGCCGGTACTGCACGAACGCATCCAGGAAGGTGTTGGCCGCCGCGTAGTTGGCCTGCCCCGGCATACCGACGACGCCGCACATGGAGCCGAACAGCACAAAGAAGTCGAGGTCGAGGGCATGCCGGCGCGCCACCTCGTGCAGATTCCAGCTGCCGGTCACCTTGGGCGCGGTCGCGGCCTCCCACTCCGCCAGCGACATGCCCAGCAGCGACGCGTCGCGGAGCACCATCGCGATGTTGAAGATCCCCCGCACTGGGGCGGCGGTGCGGGCGATAGCGGCTTCAATGTCGTCGGGGTTGCTGACACTCCCCTGAGCGACGGTAATCGAGCAGCCCTGGCTCCGGAGCTCCCGGAAGAGGTCCTCGTGTGGTGCTGTCGTGCCAGCGCTACGAGAGAAGAAGATCAAATGTCGGGCGCCGTGGTGGACCATCCAGCGGGCGAGCTCACTGCCCAGGCCCCCGAGCCCCCCGGCGAGTAGATAGGACGCATCGCTGCGGAATTTGGCGGTTCTTGCGGGGAGAGTCGGAGTGGGTATCGCGTCTTCGCGGGAGAACGAAAGCCCTAGTTGGCGATAATCGTGCTGCGGCCGACTTTGCACGAGCCTGAAACATTCTTCCGCTTCTCGAGCCAGGAGCGTTTTCCTTGGTGTCAGCGGGCGAATCTTGTGTTGGGTGTACAGGCCAACAATCTTTTCGAGTAATCTGTCACGACGATACAAATTTAGCATCTATACGGTGTGTTTGCGGGGCTATGCGTGGCAAGGTAGATGGGATCCACGTACCGTCTCCCCTCTTCCGGCTGCATTCTCATGTAATGAAGCACATCGACTGAGATAATTGAAGCATTCGGTACGCACAGCGTCGCAGGCAGCTGGCTGCGCGCATCGCCCGCGAGGTAGACAAGCTTCCCACATGGGGCGAGACATGCGCCTGAGGCTGCAAACAGCTCACCCGACGACGAAGACGCGTGGAGAACCAAATTTACCCCTTGGCCGTGGGTAGCATCTTTCGTCGCCTGCACGAATGAAGGGCTGTAAGCGTCGAAGATCCTTTCCTCTGGGATTGCGTACTCCTTCGCCAAGCGTTGCGCTTCCCCATCATCAATGACTGTTATGAACGTCTTAGCACCGAGCATCTGGCTGATTTGAACCGCAGCCCTCCCCACAGCACTGGACGCGGAATGGATCAAAACCGTCTGTTGATCATGCACGTCAATTCATTAGTCCACGTGCATCTCGCTATCCAATTGGGGTGCGAAGAGTAACATACGTGCGTCTCGTTCAGTTGTCCCACCTGGAGCAGGGAGTACATCGCTGTGGCGAAGGCCCACGGAAGGGTGCTGGCATCCTCCAAAGACAGATCGTCGGGGATCTTTGCACAGCTACTGCGTGGAGAAATGATGGAGGTGGCCAGCGCTCCAGGTTCACAGGCGATGACGCGATCACCGGGGGACAGGTCCCTGACCTGCGAGCCCACCCGTAGTACCACTCCGGCAGTATCACACCCAAGCCCGGCATCCGAAATATCAGCAACTCCGAGCAAATGGGCAGACTCCTTTGACCATCAGCGTTGGACAAAAAAGTCTCAAGTAAGCAAGGCGAGAGGGAGGGGCTGTAGGAAACTCGGATGATAGCAATAGCTTACCGGAAATCTCACGCCGGCCGTATCGACGTCAATTTCGACCTCGTCAGGTTCAAGCACGAGCGGGTGTTCATGAGCGACCCAATTCCACGTCTCCGGATCAAGCACCAGCCTCGAGCAGCGGGGATCATCACGATACACCAGCCCAGATCTTCTTATCTCCTCATCGAGAGAGAAAGGAAGCAAGCGCCCGACATAAATCGAGCCCTGGTGGATGACATATTCCATCTCGCGCAGACCCGCCCCCGCATGCGTCCGCGCCTGGAACTGGCGGAATACGTCGACCACCAGGCCGGCACTCGCGTAGGAGACGGTATCCACCTCGCAGGTGGCGAGATCGAGGCCGAATTCCGCGCGGGAGGTTCGCACCACGCCGATGGTGCAAGCGAACCGGGGCTCACGGCATTCCATCTGGCTGCATCGCGTCACCCATAGGGCGCCGGAGTGCGCCTGCTGCAGTTGACGTAGAAGCCCCTGGTACGCGAGGAGCTCCGACTGGTTGATGCCGTGGAAGAATGGCTCGACCGTGTCGAGCAGGATAATGACGTCCTGCGACGCCGGGAGAGGTGCACCCATGGATTGGATCCTGACCTCGTATCCGCGGGCGCGGAGCTGCTTTTGCAGCATGATTGCCGTCTCGATGGAATCAGCGTCGGCGACCAGAACGGCTTGATGGTTCTTTGCCACCACGGGGTCAGTCAAGCGGGGACTAGCTAGCATATAGGCCGTGTTTTGCAAGGGAGGCGTGGTGTTGAAGGCTAGGTCATCCAGCCCGTTGAAGCCGGCGTCTCGCAGCTCCTGTTCCCATCTCATGGGGTCGATGTATGGCTCGTTGGCTCGGCCATCCTTCTCCCCAGGCCACCACCCCGGCAAGACGCCCGTCACGATATTGGCATACTTGGTTTCACCGCAGAGCTCTTCGACTAGGAGTTTGCCACCGGGATGGAGCAGGCGCCGGACGTTGGCAAGCGTCTCTCGAAGACTGGGCGTGGCATGTAGAACGTTTGAGGCGATGATCAGGTCAAATGATTCCGGCTGGAAACCTTGGCTGATGGGATCCGAAGTGATATCCAAGGTCTTGAAGATCATATTTGGATAATCGCTGAAGCGCCCCCTTGCGGCAGGAAAAAAGGCCGCCGAGATATCCGTGAAAGTGTAGGTGGAGTAGAGTGTCTCGGGAAGTATCTGGGCTGTCGTTCCCCCCGTGCCAGCGCCGATTTCAAGGATGCGCTGCCCCGGATGATGGTGGCCAAGAGCCCTAAACAGTGGACCCCGGTCGACCTGGTTCAGGTAATTGTACATCTCCAGCAGGGTGTCATCGCTCATCAACACCTCCAGAGGATCGACCTGACCTTTGCACATAGGGACAATGTTAGTGACGACCTTGACCATGGCGTCAGCACAGGGAGCTGCTGAGGTCGCCGCCGCTTGGCCTGCTATCTCCTCCAGGACCCAGGTCTCGGACTCAATGGCGAGTCTTTGTTGTTGCAGTCGGAGCCAGTCATAATACTTCTGCAGATGCGGCGTGGTTGCGGTCATAACCTTCTGCTGTTCGAGACGAGCGATGCTCTCTGCAATACATGCCTTCGTAAGTCGATCCAGGAGGATCGTACTATCCCTCAACCCAGGCGGAGACGAAACAAGATCAGAGAGGGAGAGGAAGGCAAATTCCTTCCCCCAATGAAGCCTTGTCCCGGTTCCAGAGCCATACTTCCCTGGAAGTTCTGTACCCACAGGGCGAAGAAACGTATCGTCGAAGGACAAAGCCATCGTGCCATCGAGCGCAGTAGCCGAGCCTCTCGTGCTGACCACGCCTCTGCCTAGCGGTTGGGCCCATGCCGTGCATTCTAGCCTCGTCGCGCAATCTGCGATGTTGACCTCTCCGAAGTCCGTAGGGACGGGGAGCCGGCCGATCCCCCAATCTAGCCCTTGATACCTGGCTGCGTAAACCGCCTGGAAACACGCATCTAGCATCGTAGGATGAATGGGATAATAGACGGTCTCCGGGAGCGTTGACACTACCCGGGCAGAGGCTCGGTGCTGGGAGGTCGACGAGCGCAGCGACTCCACGCCTTGGAAGATGGCTCCGTACTCGACCCCCGCTCGGCTCAGAGTCCGGTACCATCGGGCTGGGTCCACCAACCGAGGTAGATGGTCGTGGTGGCAGTCGGGCTCTTGCAGACGAGAGAACCGAGCTCCGCGCTGCACCTGACCAGCGCAGTGTTGCACCCATGACGCACCGTTGTGTGAACTGATGGTAAAGTCGTAGGTATTCCCCGCGGACTGCCTCCGCAACGAGGTTATAATTTCTGTCGTGTTATATCGGTCTAACACCATGGCATTGCTGAGCCGTGCATTTTGGATGCAGAACCCCTTCGCTTCGGTATTATCAACCTGCCGCACAGCCTCTATTGCCATGGCAATATAGCCGGCAGCAGGGAAAACAGCATTCCCTGTCACCCGATGATCCTGCAGCCATGGAACATGGGCAGAGAACAGGACGTTGCGCCAGCTTGGCTGATCGTCGGTACTGTAGTTTACCCGGATACCTAGCAGTTCGTGCCTGGGGAACTTCGACCACTTCCAGTCTTCGATGCTTCGAGGCGCATAGATGGTCGCGGATGGGTGATGCCAAGGATAGCTTGGGATATTGGGAAGAACTCTGGCGGTTTTGTCAGGGTCGGTAAGTGCTTGATAGTCTAGAGGATGACCCCGCGCAAAGAGCTCGCCGATAAGTGTGAGAAATGACTCATCACAGGGCTTAGACCTTGACAGACATGATAGATATTGGTGGTTCAGAGACTTTTTATCGAAGGTCTGACGAATCGGACCTGCGAGCGCTGAGTGTGGGCCAACCTCAATGAACAGGAGTGATTGTGTGAAAGTGTCAGTGATTGCTTGAAAGCCCTGGAGGAACCGCCGGCGACTCCAAATTCCGCTGCCAGTAATCTGATCCCAGTGTCTCTGAGGCTGGAAGCAGGTGGCCTTTGACCGCGGAAGAAAAGGCCACTGACTTCTGCGGCACATCAAGAGCGCCCTTGTTTAAGTAACGGTCCATGAGACACTTGTACCCTGCTCCCACCTGGGTCATATGTGGTGAGTGGTAGGCCGTGTCTACTCTGAGGCGTCGTACCAACACCCCTGGGTGCGAAGCTTGGATCTCTTTCATGGTCTCCTCCAGAGGAATAAGATCGCCGGAAATAGTCACACTCGTAGGTGAATTTTCGCAGGCAATGACGACGCCCGGTCTCAAGAACGGTGTCGTTTCAACTGTCCCCATTCCCACCGCGCACATCCCTCCATCGGCATTCACCTCTTCGGATACCACCCCACGATAGAAGGCACAAATCACGGCCTCACGAGCAGATATTCTTCCAGCAGAATATGCCGCGGCTAGCTCGCCAGATGAATGACCGAGCACTGCAATCGGGGTCATGCTGAGCTCAGCAAGGGCGTCTACCAGCGCGACCTGGATTGCGGTACAGATCGGCTGCGAGTACGACGCCTTGTGCAGATTGCTGTCCTCCGGTGGCTTTTGGATTTCCTCCACGATCGACCATGACGCAGCCTCGGGCAACTCATGGATGAATCGGTCCGACTGTTGTAAGGACTCTCGAAAGGAGCGGTTTGCTTGATAAAGCTGGTAGCCCATGCCGGGCCATTGCGCCCCCTGCCCTGTAAACACGAAGGCAACATCCTGTGGCTGAGCTGGAGTACGCGAGAAGACCGAAGTCCGAAGCGACCTATCGTTCAAGACCATGGATGCAGCTCGAAACGGGAGATGGACCCGCCTGGCGGCCAGCGTGTATGCAAGATCAGGCAGGGACTCGGGATGGTTTGCCAGAAACTCGTGATTTCTCTGGATGAGGTCTGCCAGTGACTCCGGGGTATTTGCCGAAAAGCATAGCAACGAAGGTCCAGGATCTTTGCGCTCGCATGGCGAATGCACTGGAGTCAGATATTCGGCCGACTCGAGAATAGCGTGGGCATTGACACCGCCGAGCCCGAAGCTGTTGACGCCAGCTCGGAGAGCTCGATCTCCAGGCCAGGGGATTGGCTCGGTCGGCACCATCAGCCCGCCCTCGCGGAACGGGATGTTTGGATTCGGAACGGTGAAACGAATGTTCGGCGGGATGGTGCGGTTCTCGAGAGCCAGCACCGCCTTGATAAGGGAAGTGAGACCGGATGCACCCTCGGAGTGTCCCACATTTGGCTTCACCGATCCGATGAAGATCTGGCCATCGCCCATAGTGTCGGCAACCGCTCGCGCCTCGATGGGATCTCCCACAGAGTTCCTGTCCCGTGGCACTCGACGTAGGGCGTCCGGGTGAGGTCGCTAATCCCTGCGACTCGGTACGCCTGCCTGATCAGCTTTTGCTGGGCTTCGGCGCTGGGCACAGTGAATCCGGTGGATTTGCCGTCGGCGTTGGTTGCAGTGCCCCTGATCACGGCCCGGATCGGATTGCGGTCTCGCACCGCCGCCGCCAGAGGTTTGAGAAATACCGCATTGATGGCCTCCCCGCGCCCATAGCCGTTGGCAGTGACATCAAAGGACTTGCAGGCCCCATCTGCGGACAGTACCCCTCTAGCCGACATGATCCCGGTCATTGTAGGCGACAGGATGAATTGCGTGCCGCCGACGATGGCGGCATCACATTCGCCGCGGGTCATTGCCGCGCATGCCTGGTCGAGAGCCACCAGCGCCGACGAACAGGCTGTGCGCACGCTCATGCTAGGCCCGCGCAAGTCATACTCGAAGGAGATCCGGTTGGGAACGGCGAAGTCTCCGCCCACAGCGAGCGGATACTTGCCGTACATCTGGAGATCATGATAGAGGATCTCGGTCCAGTCGTCGCTGAAGGAGCCGACGTAGCAGCCAATATTCTTGCCGCGATAGTGGACTTCACCGGCACTGTCAAAGCACTCCTTCACCACTTCTAGGAGGTGGCGCTGGTGGGGTCGATGTACTCGAGCTCCGCTTTTGTAAAGCTGAAGAACGAGGTATCGAGGTCCCCGGGGTTGTGGTCCAAGTAGTATCCATACTCGGTGTTGATTAAGCCATCTTTGTCAAACTTGGAGTAGTGGCTGTCAATCTTGTATCGAGATAAGGGAACGCGTGCGCGGGCGTCGCCATAGGCTAGCAAGAAGTCCCAGAATTGAGCTGGGTTGCTGATTGCCCCCGGAAGCCTAAGGGCCATGCCACATACTGCGGTAGGACTGAATGTTCCCGATAGGTGGTCATCCTGACTTCGATCAGCCATGACGTGCCCCGGTAACCTTCCAACTACCCTGTCAAACTCCCCCCCATGAGAGTGGAGAGATGCTGCACTCACCGAGGTGGCTGTGTTCGACGTATCAGCCATTGTATCTGATTGAATACTATCGCAACCATTTGCTTTTGGTTTCTGGTCGCTGTAGAAAGTTGCCATAGGTACTCGTCTTCAAGATTCGTGCCAGGAAAGCGGGTATCACACAACAGACAGTAGCATGGAAGACTCCAGCTGCGTAAGGTGGTTTATGTACTCCGCTGAATGAAGACATCGTAAGAACTCCGTCATGCCGAGGAGGGGGCGCCCCCCGCACAGGAGAAGCATAGAAATTGCTGGCTATCACCACAATTAGCCTGCTGATCGTGGTTCAGTGAGTTCCTTGGATTATTATCTCTCTCTAGGTATGAGGAGAAGAGGGGCAGAGTGGAGGGGCATCATGTTGTGGTGGATCAAGGTACCCAGATGGAATGCAGAAGCAGGAGCATAGGTGTACAGTTATGTACTGTATTTGTATTACAGTTTCAGTCCTCGGTTTGAAATAGACACCGCAGAGATCTATCGAGCTTGTTCGAGAAGACAATGAGTAGCGGCATTACAGCGCCAGATTGTTGTTCTCGGACAAATAGACTAGAATTTATGAAACTCCGCTTTCCTCTGAGCAAAATGGGGTAGTATGGCTAGTAAAGCGAGGTAGATAAGGAAGCAGTGTTAGTAGGTTGTTCGATAAGTTGATCATGATGGCGATGGTGGGTGTTGATGTTGATGGTGATGGTGATGCGCTCACGTGATATAATGATAGCAAGCCACGCAAACCGGCGGGCTCTTCACCGCCTCTACCCAGTTCTAACATACCGAAGGTACCGAAGTAACAATCTATTACCTCTGTAACTTATCTCGCATAGGCAATCCTTTCCTTGGTTTCAATCTCCCACCCTACCCCACCTTCCTTAGTTTGCATCAGAATTCTATCGTTCCAGCAGATCGATTTCACTGAAGAATAACACTTTCCCATTGATCTGATCTGAAATATGTGTTGGTCCCGTCTTCGAGACGCTGCGTTAGATTGCCCCACTGCTAGTGCGCCCGTGCGCAGCTTGTGAAGTGCATTGGAGATTCGGATTGTGCAGGGTCGGCAGGTGTATTTCATGCAATAAACTTTAAACCTGCCTTTTTGCTGGGAATGAATGACCCAGAGCAAGTACAGACGGCATATACGAGACTTTGAAGAGCTTATCGTGCAGGTGATCAGCTACAAGGCCAAGGCGATTCTTACGGAGATCTCATACCTGCATACCTGCTCGTCGCAACGCGGCGCTTGGAGCGGATGGCAAACCAGCACACAGTGGGAAAGAGAGGGCGGGGGAATCGCACTGCAAGTAAACCCCTCCAAAAAGCAATGATGGGGACACAGATCTGAATGAGGGTTAATCCGCAGAACACAAAAGTACGGTGCATGGCACCCCATTGGGCGCCGCCTGCGTCATCACCATCACCATGTTCACTCCCGGGATTGTGACCAGAATGTTGCTGACCCCAATCCCGTAGAACGGGTAGATAATCCCTGACAGCAGGCAGAGATGGTGATCGCCGCGCGAAAACCGTCCTCGTGCGCCGCGTAGTGGGGAGCCAGTGCCTCCGGCTCCACGGTGGCGCTGATTGGTGGCATGTTGTTGAACATGAGCACTAGGACGAGGCAGATCAGGAAAAAAGGCCAGCACAGGAGTTCCAGTCGGATTGGGGTGAGCTCGTAGAGGGGTAGGCGTTTGGCCCCGCGGAAGTCAGTGACCTCGGGCGAGAGGGGGGCTGGCGCGAAAACCATGGGCTCTTGGTGCTTGTGGTCCATAAGGAATAAGATCTATGAGAGAGAGAGAGAGAGAGTATTTCACGGCGGAGGAGCAATTGATGGCTAGGTTCCGAGGTGCAGTATGGTAAGTTCAAACCCCTCTAGTCTTGTTTTGGGACATTGTCTTATACCTCTGACGCCTCAATCTTCACCCCCCTCCCGCAATATGGGAACTGATATCTGAATCTCGTCGAATGCATCCATACACGTACATCTGTCCGGCATGGGAGACACACATACCTCATGACACGTAACCTACCCCTCCTGCTTGGCTGTCTTCTTGGTCTCTCCTCGATATATTAGCGACAGGCCGCATGCACATGCATGTTCATCTTGCGGGTTTGGAAAGACTATAAAATGCATTAACCACCAATCTATCTTGCAGGCGCCGAGCACACCATTTTCGGAGTTGTTCAGAAAGACTTCTTCTTCTCCTTCTCCTTCTTCCTACTGCAGAAATGACGCAAGCATACTCCCAGACCATACTGATCGGCAAACTTACAACGCGAAAGTCATTCCTGCTCCCGCATGGCGTCCTGGCCCGTGCGTACGACCTGGCAGACAAAAGACAGTTGTCAGGGCACTGCACTGTAGATGTCCTCAACTTCCTCTTCTGCCTTCCTACATGCCGAAGTTTCCCTCTGCGGCAACAGACAGACTTGGCAGGTCACTTCATTCAGACGACTCAGTCCACAGAAATGTTCTGGAGCCAGGCGCGGGTGCAAGTGGATTCTCCTCTCCTCACGAGTCCTCTTGCCTGGTTGTGATGATGAAGTCGAAACCTAGATTTCGTCTAGTAGGGACCTATTGTCAACTACTGCGTCGCTGTAAGTATGCAACCCACTGGTCCTACCAAGTAAATCTTCCTTCCCAAGCGACCATCCAATGCTGGTTCCTCTACTGTACAGACATCCGTGCAACTCTGCGTGTCACATTGACCCACCCCTTTGTAGAGTATCCTCCCGTGGCCACGATTCTCACAACCCCCCGAAGGCGATATACAGCTACAAGTACAGTGCAAATTTCCTTTTCTGTTGACTCGATGATCTTCTCCCAGACGAGCTCTCTCCTAAGACAGGACATCTTCCCAATTCTTGAAATCGGGGCCCCAGGTTCCGAGTATGTCAAACAACCTGTATTTCGTGAGATATTGTAGTTTCGTTCACTACTTCCCATGATAATAAAGAGGGGGAGATATACAAATTTTATGCAATCAGGAGGGTATTCACTGGTGCTTCGAGGGGCGGGTCTGGTGGACCGAGGCCACGGAATGGTCAATTCAGCTAGCCACAACAACCGGAGATGGAGATTTTCGAGTTATAACTACCCCTCATATATCTGCAGGTTGTGAAGAATCGGCAAGAGTCAAGGCGCCCATGGCGCGCTTTGCAGAACCCCAATTTGCTATGTCATGTTTCAGCCCGCCAGTTCACCTGCAGCTATGCATGATTCAAACGAGTAACTTTGCCGTCTATACTGCACTGTATTGTCTCTCCGTAATAACAGTCAAGTAAATCACATGACTGTTAATACTGTATTGTGCAATACCTACGAGTAATTGCCTCACTGGGTCCTAGGGGAATTTCCCATCGCCCGGAAACCACATGTCAAGCAGCAGGCTGTATGTAAAACCCCCGACAACAGGGCCAGACAGACCATGCAGAGTAGGAGGGCGACGAAAGAGCAAACAGGATTTCGCGAGATCTGCGATCGACATGGCTCAGAGGCCCGATGCCCCTGTGCAGATACTCCCATCCCTGCAGATGGTCAAGGAGTGTACCCTAACTGGCTGGGGAGATCGAGTAGCGCGGTCGATCTCGATGCAGGCAAGAACGGCACTACCAATGCACCACTAACCAAGTGCTAACTCGCTACTGATACGAACAAATCCTGTTTATCTCTCGAACTTTTATCTCTCAAGCTTCTACACGTTTGACCTCCGAAAAGGGACTACAACTCCCAGAAAAACTTGCGGATGCGTCCCGACTACTACTACTACTATTACTACTACTACAGGATGAGACGGAGGATGTGATCTTTATAGTCTGCCTCTCCTTCGAAGGCTAGACAGAGCGGATTCTGATGAGACAAACGGGGTCAGAAGTGGTAAGCCCCCAATGGTGTATTCTGCTCAGATGCAACAGGACAAATGATGCGACCAATACAGCTGAGAGCTCGGGACTTGCAGGTGCATGCAACTGCTGCAACATGATTGGGCGGCAGATTCGGCAAGAATCTTGCAGCTCTGCGGAGGGATAGTTGTCTCTGCATACGTAATTTTCTAAGATCTGGTTTTTTGAATGTTTGATTTGTTAAAAGTCGGATGAAGCTATTCAGACTCGAGCAATCAATACACGCTTATGGCGAAACGTGCATTATTGGGTCTGGAGTCGATGTAAGAAGTCGTATCGTTTGGGACCCCACATGCTAAGCCATAGAAAAATGGATGACTCTTCGGGTCCAATGTACAGCCAAGCCAGACTCGTAGGATGGACGGTGCGCACTGCGCATTAAAGTCGTTCGCGAATTGCTACAAACGGTCTCAGTACCCCTTGATATGAGTCTTATGTTCGTAATTAGTTCATGCCGAACTGAATGGCTATAATTACACTTGTCAGGCTATTATGCCAAAATAAGAGTTCACTTCTTACTTACTTATTCGGGACGGTTCTATCCAAATATTCATCGCAAAGTTCAGATGTTCTAGAATTAATTCAATCGAGTATGATAACTCTGCAAAGTCCAGCAATCACGAAAGCCATTAGCGAAAAGAGCAAAAGGAGCAACTCACCTTGATAACAAGCCATGCTTATCAAGCCTTCGCCTTCCACCATGTCAGACTTAATCATTCTGCTCCCCCTTGTGCAGGTAATCCACAACGTCCCTGATCTACTCATCATCGGGAACACCAGGAAGTCAGATGACTGTCAGTGCCAGTTCCAGAGCGAAAAAGCCTGCAATCAAGAGATTCACCCACAGAATGTTCATCACCAGCAAGGACCACGGATTGAGCAGCCACGCCGCCAGCTCCGGGTTCCCGATGAGCATCTCCACGTCACCAAGAGCGATCAGCGCCTCGGTGACGTTCAAAGGAGTCGATGTAAGGTTGCCCAGCGCAGTCTGCTGCTGGAGACGGTAGGCTCGGAGAGCCAGCGGGAGCCGTTGGTCAGCCATGTAGTTCGACCACAGTTGGTTCGAGGCAATGCTCACGAAAAAGCTGCCGTAGATCAGCAAGAGTCGCGGGCCATAGGGCGTGTCGCGAGCCCAGCGACGGAGTGGACCGGTGGAGAAGTACCAGCTGCAGTAGGAGAATCTCGCTCTGGAGGTAAGATTCGAGAGGCCAAAGAGGAGTATTTCTCTCTCACTTTGTCTCTTCCCTCCCTTTTTGCTTTATCAATATACACATATGTCTTCAGAGCGGAGAGCGTCATTCGATGTCTACAGAATTTGGGATTATCTTGGAATCTGTCGTTCCAAATCATTCAGATTCGCTTTGCATTCGTATTCTTCTCTCCTATTCAGCGAAATGTGCTATGTTAGTTGTAGAGACCTTGAACTTACTTCGTGTTGTAGGAGCTTGGGAGCGAAATGCTATCTGAGCTTTCAGGTATGTGACACTCTGTTATACCGACAATCGCAGCATTTTTCCACTTGTCTGCTGAGTGATCAGGCCACTTCGAACCAGAGCGCTCTCTCAATACTATGCTAGTGGACCTGATGCAACCTAACAATCGTGCTGTGCTAAACTGAAAGAACTCATACTGCCTAGCTTGTACTGACATCTGCGCTCTCACACGTGAGATACTTTGTGAGAAACCCTTACATTTCCCGGGAGTCTCCCTCAGCGTCCCTGCTCGTGGACCGGAAACAGATTGAGAAAACCTCCAGCTTGACGAATCCCTCCGTGGCCCGGATCCGCCCCAGCAATTTCTCAAGTGCCAACGACTCCCTAAAGTTTCTTTGCGCAGCAACATCATGGAACCCAAACATGGATAGGAAGATTGGTGCTCTCTGGTCTGGAGAACCGCCCCTGACGGGGAAGTTCTTCTCCACGCCCCATCCGTAGCTCAGAGATTCAATGCCCGAGACATTTTCGGTCTCATTCTCCTGCCAGTCCTCGAGATGCGCATTGGCTGCGTCAGTTACAGTGGGTAGCCGATCCGCCTCAAAGTACGCCAAGATGACCTGTGTGACGGCGGACTGCAGGGTGGCTGGCAGAGAGGGCGTGGCGGTAATGTGCTTCGTGAACCCGCCACGCGTCAGGATTTCCGGGAGGTCCTTGACAGCTTCTTGGCCCAGTCTATGGTACTGTTGTCAGATAGGAAGCTGAGACGAATAGAGAGAGGCCTTTACTTACGTCCTAGCGAAATTGTGGTGGGCCTCTAGCGAATCCCAGTCAAAGAATGCCCAGAGATAAGACGGATCTTCAACCTCGAGACCCCAAAACACTCGAAGTGGTCCCCCGGGCGCGGGCACAACGTAGTTGTATAGCTTGCTCAGGATCTGGCCCTGTGGAGTGTCTTCGTTCATGATGTCGATTGAAGGCTTGACGCCCATGCAACCTATTTCGGTAACGGACATATTGTGTGAATCCTTTCGTGTTTCACGCGAGGTATATTTTCGATGGCAATGTGGAAGTTAGGGCAAAGCTGAGAGCACTGTTTCTCGACGTGAGGAGCCCGAGTGAGACGGAGGATGAAACCACTTAAGTATCGGCAGACCAGGATGGTTGGAATCTTATATATATGTACGTTTATGCTTGTAAATCTATCACTTAGGAATGACGTGATTTAGGCTTCCTCCTTTCAACCCAGAGGCTGAATTAATCCTGATGCCTTTGGGTGAGGCAACACCATATCTTCCGCCTACTTAGTTAAAGTCAATATGATTTGTCGTCTGCGAGGACTCAGAGTGACCCGTGACGGTGAAAAGCCGCCTTCGGAAATTCTTGCTCCCTAGGCACAGCAGGCTGAATTATATGTTGATCAGTAGATGTTAGACAGTTTGTAATACCCAAGACCGACTAATGTGGATGTAGGGTGAATTATAGCTCGTTTCTTGGCATTTGCTCGCAAAACTCTAGCCGTGCAAAATTCCGGCTGCCTATTTCGAAGCCATGAGCCGGCCGAAAATACATGTCCCTTCGCTTTACATGAGTTCACCTAGGAGTTACACTAGTGGTAACTTATCAGTAATGCGTTAATTGGAAGCTTGGGTGATATATCAGACTCTACGATCTTACGTATCACGTCCCATCTTTTTTTTTTTTTTGGGAAACTTGTTGGACATTCTAGGAAGGTATGAAAGACCAACCCTCCCGTTCCTCTTCGCTTTCAGATACTGTGGCAGGCTAAACAGGCCCTTGAACTATATCGTGTATGAAGATCCCTGAATAAGATGATCTAGACCGATGGGAGCTGCGCCCCTGTATGTCTCTGATACCGATCTGCTCGACACCGGAGCAGGGAAGCTCATGGGTTGGATTAAACACGAAAAGCACTTATGAGTCCTACTAGCCTATGCTGTATGGTTGTATGAAAGCACCTGCAAGGTCTATGTACTGGGTAAATGTCTCAGCACCTGTCTAGCCAGCTTGCTGAGGGCAAACGAGTGAGGCTAAGCGCGGAGTCGCCCATAACCACGAGCCCAGAAATAACCAGATACCCCGAGGCCGGATCCTAGCACTTAAGAAAGGTCAGATCGCCCATTACGTCTAGAATCAACAATAACGAGAGCCAACTAGCTAGGGGAAAAAGTTTTTATTACTAGAAAGGACAGTTACTATGTCAATCGACTTGGTAGTTTAGAACTAACCACTTATGGGGAATGATGACCAATTAGGCACTGTATAGTAATTGCTGTCCAGAGATAACATCTTCAGCATTCCGTCGCGGTAACGCAACTGCCACCCAAAACCTAAGACAGTTGCAACCCATTTTGACATTGTGGCTAAGTCTTCCTGTATTTCCAACTCTCATCATCTAATTCTCCGCCCAGAAGGAATAATTCCGGGAGGAAGAGCCAACACTTGTTCTGGAACACGAGATACATGCGCGTTACCGTCGTACAAAGATCTCGGATTGCACGGCGGCCTCGCACGGGTGGAACTAACTAGAATAGCAACACATCGTATAGTTCGTACAAAGTGTATACTCCGGTCCATTCTTAGACGAGAATTTATAATTTGCCTCCGGGTGACAGGTTGCAATTATAGTCAGCAGAATGCTAGAATCTCGTGATGGGCCAGGGCGATGACTTGCTGGTTCGTATTCCGCCTCCAACATTTCAACTGGTATGGTCCCTAGAGCAACAAGACACGACCATCGGACGATGAGCTAAGCTCGAGGAGAGTATGGATCTCCCTGCTCCAGATAGTGACTGCTGTCCAGTTAAATAGTTATGTCGCGGGTCTGCCTTCACCGGCGTAGAATTGCATGGAGGGATTGGCAGCCTGATCAGGGAATTACTTTGCATATTAGTGTTTCATACCGCAGGTCAGCGCTGGCAGATCGGTGGGAAAGTATGGAAAATCTTATAGAGCTACCATGTCTATCTCATCTTGTACTATTCTCATCGTCTGGCTTCTGCTGTTGATAACAGCCAGAGAGGCGATTTCCACTCCAACTGGTCGTCGTTCGCAGGACTGCCGCTGTCTGCCAAAGGACCCCTGCTGGCCATCATCCCACGAATGGAATGCTTTCAACCGCACCGTAAACGGACATCTGGTCCGGATCCAGCCGGTTGGTTCGGTCTGCCATGGCAGAGACTACGACCCAGCGGGGTGCGCTTTTGTCAGAAACTCTACGCATGACTCGCTTTGGCGCATCGCAGAAGCAGGTAAGCATCCCGTTCCGTAAACATCTATGACGGTACAGAAGCTTCATCTTTATAACGAGACTTCCCTCACTAACACAGCCATCTTACCCAGGCGCACTTCAATCAGTCACCTGGGAAACTCAGCAATACCACAGCGGAAGCTGCTTTGTCGACGCCCCGCGCGCCATCCCCTGTAGCCAGGGCCGAATCCCTCTGTACGGGGTACTGGCGCACTCCGCAGAGGACATCCAGAAAGCGGTGTGGTTCGCACGCCAGCACAACCTGCACGTCACAGTCCGAAACACCGGCCACGACGGGATTGGCCGTTCGAGTGGGCTGGGCTCCTTCCAGATTAACGTGAGTCTCTTAAAGAAGATGGAATTCGTGTCGGACTTCGTCCCGCAAGGTGGGGAGACGTCTCGTGGGTCGGCGGTCACCCTCGGGGCTGGGGTGTTAGGGCTCGAAGCCCTAGCCGCCGGCAAGAAAGAAGGCGTGAATATGGTGACCGGCACTTGTAGTTCTGTCGCTGCAACGGGTGGTTTTGTGCAGGGCGGCGGGCTGGGGTTCCTGGGGCCTGCGTATGGGATTGGATCGGATAATGTGCTGGAATTTGAGGTTGTTACTGCTGAGGTGCCTTTCCCCCTACGCCTTGTTTCTGGGTCCATGGTGCTGTGGCCGATTGCTAATCACTGTTTACATGCTAGGGTGATCTGGTCGTGGCGAACAAATACCAGAACGAAGACCTCTTCTGGGCGTTGCGCGGAGGAAGCGGAGGCACGTTCGGAGTGGTAGTCCGCACCACGATCCGCACGTATCCTGACGTCCCAGCCGTGCATCTCCTCCTGACGGCCGATCTTCCCCGGCAGCAGAATGGAACCACCGGCAACGGGGATCAAGCCATCTGGGCTATTACCACCGAGCTCACCAACCTGCTGCCCGCGCTGAAACGCATGGATAACAAGACTAGTGCCATGATCGTGCCACGGTTTTTGGAAAATCGCACTGTGCTGGAGGCACACGTGCTCTTCGTTAACACCAGCGATGTAGGTCCGATCGAACAACGCCTCGACACGATGCATGAATCTCAAGGCTCAGGGTCTATCCTCGGTGTACACTTCCGAGTTGACTGTGTATCCGGAGATCTCCACCTGGCTCAATATCCCGCGCCAGCTCAACGGTGGAGGCTACGGACTCGTCGAAGGATCGGTGCTTATCTCTGAGGATCTCTTCTTCTCTCCCAATGGAACCTCTCATATATTGAACGTGCTGTCCCATTTGGAGTATATAGTCGGAGACTCAGTGGAGATCCTGATGTCAGTCGGTGGGCAGGTCAAAGCCAATAAGCACGTCATCGACAGCGCCTTGCTCCCTGGGTGGCGCGAGGCTGAGCTGTTGCTGACGATTCGACGGACGCTGCCACCGACATCCTTGACAAAGACGATGGTCAATAGTCAGTTGCCATTTGTGAGGGCTCTGCAGGTACCCTCGCTAGGGGTGTACTATAATGTCGTCGATATTGAACAGCCTGACTCCCGGCAAGCATTCTGGGGGGACAACTATGAACGACTGTATGTGATCAAGCAGAGGTGGGATCCCGATGGTTTGTTTATAGTGGGGATGGGGGTGGGAAGTGAGGATTGGGATGAGGAGGGGATCTGTCGGGTGTAGTGTGTGGCCTACAGTATTGTTGTGTTTTGTTTCGATTTGGGTAGAGTGCGAGTTGTTAGGTTGAGACGGTCACTGACGCAAGTTGTGTGACGCGACGTTTGCCGACTTATTAGTTCGTATTTCTCCAGGTAGGACAGCAGACTAGATGCGGACATGTCAAACATTCGATTGACTAAGCTTGCTACGATCTGAGTATTTTTGTAGCTAGAATTACTTGGGCCTCCTGTCATGAAGTCTCTGTGGTGAGTCACGATTTCAAGTGTAGTCTATATCGTGCAAGATGTTCCACAGAGAACCTTGGTCATATGGACCTGGAACATTCCGGGACGTGTTACCATTGGGTAGAGACGATCAGAGTAATTTATTGAAAGGCCCCTGGATGAAATCGGGCTCTGTAGTCGAGCCCTTCCATGTAATGAAGGCAGGCGGAAGCTAGGAAAAATGATTCCTGACATCCCTTTTCATTACTGGGGCAAAAGCATGACACCAAATTTCAATGATTCCCAGGGGGATTTAGCAAATTTGATGCGGCAACAAAGTACAGAATCAAAGTGCATTATTCATTATTAAAGCATAGAACCGAAAGTACATACATATCCAGCCGAGAAGTAACAATCAAGACTGCAACTAGCAACTCAACGCTCAACCATCCACCCTTCCAACCATCCTCGGCGCTCAAAGGCTTCGGTAATACACGGTAGTATACGGCCCCTTCTTGGGGGAATAGGAGAACGAGAGCCAGACCTGGATATCTGTCGTCTTCTCCAAGTCGCGAGTCTGGCTGCGCGCAAACTTGATGTCAGTACATTATTCAGTTCCGTTGTCTGCAGTATCGAGGTACCTCCAATAGCCAACAGACGGTACTTCAAGGGAAAAAAGAGATAACTCACAAGCAAGCAACCATACTTTCCCGATACACGCGCGCCTGCTGCGCCCACCCCAGCCGCTCAAAGAACGCGACCACTGCGTCGATGACCGCATCCTCCGTCATTCCAAACAGCGGGAAATACACCTTGGGGACAGGCCAAGGATCTCCGGGATGAATCTCATAATTGACAATCAGGAACTGCTGGTCGTAGTAGAATTGTGGCTTGGAGGTAGTAGAAGTACTAGCAGCAGTCAGGCTCGCTGGATCGTGAGTCACAACCGACTCGCGCTCACCCGCCCTCGGCGCACAGGCAAATGGGAGATGGTAACCTTCGCGGACCTGGAGGATGGACCACAACTCGTGCAGGATCTCCAGCCCCTTCTCGATACCGGGACAGTCGCGCTCCCGCAGCCTGCCACCCAGCGTCCAAAGCTCCGCCAACCTGTCCGTATTCACGATGTAGTCGTGGATGTAGAACTTGAACCGCGTACGCGCGAGGTCCACCAGGTCGCAGCCGAACTGGATCATGCCACGCGGGTGAAAGGAGGTCGGCGACGTGGGTATCATCGCGTCCGGGGTGCCCTGCTTCTCGTCAAGGAAGGCCTGGATGGGCCGCATGCCTGCGTCGAAACGGCTGGCGGCACCCTGGTCTACCTTGCGAACAGCATTGAGAGCCAGCGTCGATGCCGGCGTGGCGGTCGCCATCGACTTGCCGACGACGAAGGTGTACAGCTTAACGGTCATCTTGCCCTCCTTGCGTAGGTCCAGGGCGATGCCGCTCTGGGTCTTGAAGACCGGGGGCAAGGGGCTTTCCGTAGAGAGCAAGTGGTCCTCTTCCCTTGTGTTTAATGTGAGGTCGCTGACGAGTTGCTGATAGAGTCGAAGGTCGAGATCGATGCCGTCGATCTGAGCGTATCGGGCAAGCACCTCGGGGGTGGAGAGTCGGTTGAACGGGTCTTTGCCGGGGACCCCGGCGAGGTAGTTCACGGGGAGGAAAGCCAGGCGGATAATGCAGCCTGACTCCTGAAAGTTCTGGCTGAACTCGAGGTTGAAGACGCCCCGGTAGAGGTTGGGGCGCGGGTTGGCTGGAGATGGACCCAGCGCGGGGACGACGTGCTGGGCGAAGAAGGCCAGGTACTGGTACTGTTTGGCGATCTCGTAGTCGGCGTTCTGCAACATTCTGGCCAGAACGGGCGCCGCGCGGTGCCACCAGTCATCCTCTTCTTGGTTTTGGAAGAGGAGGGACTGGCTGAGAGAGATGTATGGAGATGGCGCGAAGGGTAGATTGCCTTGCGCCATGGTTGCCATCCTGTGGAAGTCTGCTACGGTAGTGAATATAATTGAAATTGTTGACTGATCAGACGAGGCGGGTCACGAAAATGTATGCTGTATGGCAGATATGAAGCAGTTTATATCATCTAGCACAGCCAGACACTTCCAGTCTGAAGCGGTAACTTTCAGCTCCATCTTGGGATATCATGAGGGACGTTGGTCTGCCTGAGCTTACCCTGTTCTCTTGCCAAGCGTAGGAATTTTTCCGGGCCAGCCAATGGTGCTTTCATATAAACGAGTTCAAAGATTGGGCTGGCTGGTCGACTCAGCCCTCGGGGTATTCACTCAGCTTCTTGTAATTTATGGGGATATTATCGTCCTGCCAAGAACATCTACCATGATACGGCTTCGCGAAGAAATGTTTCCATGCAACCACGACAGAATATAAAAGATAGACAATGGTAATAGCAGGAAGAACGAGTACATCCAAAAGGAGAGGAGGGGTATGACATTGTATGCAGGGTCTCAGGGCACCCCACGTGTAGCTACAAGTCAGGGTAAGGCAGGGCAATGGCATACGAATCTAACAGAAGCAATGAGTTTCATGTAGCGGTCGGAATAGCTAAGATGAGATGACACGATCCTTCCGGACAATATTTCACCGTGTTCATTGTGTCAGGCTATCTATTTCGACTCGGGCCAAGTTTTCATATTGCTTTTTGCATCCAGTCAACATGCGTCGCACCACTCGTATATATGAGCCCCTTCGCCTCCCGACACGTTTTCTAGACCCTTGGTCTCTTTCACTCGAGCATTCTCATGTTGGCGTTTCACACACTCGGTTCTTGATCCGACTCTAGTAAGTCGAGAAACAGGATCTCGTGTGGATTGAGTGGATCATTATGACGATGACTATGAGAGAAGCGATTCTGCGAACCATGTTGCCATGACCCGCAAGCTTAAGCCCTCTCAACATTCCTCACAACTTGGTCGATTGCTCTAGCGACATATTCGACGTTCTTGGTGCTCACTGCTCTCAACAAAATTAGAACATCTGTGGGAATCAAGGGTCCCAAGATGTGCTCGTACTCGGACAGGATAGGTGACTCGGACGCAGTGCAAATTACAGCCACTGATCGATATCCTCCCAGATCTCAGCAGGTAGATGTGGAATTTGATCTTCAGGACTTCGACCTGCGCTGGGTTTAGGCCTGTGTAGCAGAACATGCCGTTCTAAAGGCACAAGAGGTTAGTCAGAGCTCGTGTATCGGAATAAATCAAGATCGGAATCAAACCTGTTCAACGATATGCCGCCACGACCCGGGTGCTTCGAGCCGGATCAGCTCAGCGTACAAGGCTTGTCGCATGGCTGACAGACGCTGACTCATGGTCTTCAGATTGCTTTTCCACTGCATGTTCATTCCAGAATTAGACAATATCGTCTTCACGAGTCTACTACCTCCGGTAGGAGCCACCGAATACTCGCTGCGGATAAGATGGCAAAGGTTGTTGACGATGACATCAGGGGGATTCCGTGTCCCTTTCCCAAGAACATAATGGAACGCGCCGACTCGCTGCCCGTACAGACCAAAGTTCTTGGACAGACTTTGTGCAACGCAGAAGTCTATGTTGGGCTTCTCGGCCAGGAAGTGCCGAATCGGCCAGCTGTCCTTGTACGCGGATCCAGAGACCAAACCCTGGTACGCGGAATCAAAGAAGGGGAACAGACGCTTGGACTCCACCAAACTCGCCAGGGCTTTCCATTGCTCTTTGCTGGGGTCTACCCCGGTCGGGTTGTGGGCGCAGGCTTGAAGGAGGATAGCATCGTGCTCCTGCGCCTCGGATTCGAGAGTAGACATCATCCCCGCAAAATCGAGGGAACGAGTGGAAGACGAGTAGTAAGGGTAGCTCTTGCAGGGCACGCCGACTAGCTCCCAGATTCTTTGGTGATTGTCCCACGAGGGATCCGAGAGCCAGACGGCTCGTGGCTTCAGATGTGTTGCCAAGAATAGGGCCCCAAGGTGATTCGCGCCAGTGCCTGCGATGGTCTGGACGGAGGCGATGCGCGATTTGATTGCATCTTGCTTCTTTCTAAGTGAGGAGTGGCTGCTGAAGCCAAATAGCAAGTCTCTGGCCAGCTCAAGGAAGGTTACGTCTCCTTGAATGGACGTGTATTCATGCCGAGAGCGGTCGACCTCTGCCAAGTCACGCTTCTCGGCTTCTTGTACAACTGGCAGAGGCCAAGGCTCGTTATTGTCTGTGCGACAGGCTCCTAGACTGAGATTGACCTTGCGTGGACTATCGTCCTTGGCGTAGGCGCGATTCAGGTCGAAGATCTCGTCCGGGGGCATTGGCGTTAGGAGGGGCAGTATGCTCATTGTCGCTGTTTGACACATATTGTTATGCGTTGCGGTTTAGTCTTGCTTCGTTGAGTGGAGATGACTTCTTTGGAAATAGGTGTAGATCAATGGCGTCAAAAAGCCAGGTCACCAATGGATACGTGTTGTTTAAATATGCTAGGTCGAGAGAGGGCCAGCGTGAGCTAGCATCTGATATGTGTGGAAGTCTTATATTGCCTTTGAGCCCAATTTGTGAGCACAAATTTAATCTATCCTACTATCCGCTTGTGCAGGGGCTCTAGCAGAACATTTTACAGTTCTTGTCTGTGGCAGAAGGTCCGTATCCAGCATTGAATTGCAGGCAGAAAGATTCATCTATACAAGTTGTATGTGTATTCATTCTATAACCGTGGCCTTCTGCCGCCTCTAGTTGCACAATAGGCCGCCTAACATGATGCCGCTTTTAGGGGTCTTGTGATATAATTAATGGAAGTAGTGGTAGATGATGGAACAATATGACTAAAACAACATTTACGTATACAAAGAGCTCCCAGCTGATGACAAGCAGCGTTTCCATTGTGTTGTAGCGAACACAACACCTAAGATTGGAATTTTGCTAAGCAAATACATTCCACTTCCTTCCGAGACACTACAAAACTATCCCGTTGAACAGACACGATGCTCGTGTTCTGACGCTCTTACTAGTCATCGCAAACGAAAATTAATGTATTCTTCACAGCCGTGAGAGTCCTGCGATGCGAGGTCGTATTACCTGCCCAGATTGCAGAGACCCTGTCTTGATTCTGACTCTGGGGTTTGCCACCACGCTCCAAGCCAATCATGGTGGTTGAAATTCTGACATCTTGCTTTCAGCTCTCCAGATTGTGGGTATCGGTAATTCTATCAATGTATGTCTATGAACTGTACATAGTTGCATTAGGTTCAATATCAACCCTGCTGATGTATCATGTCGACCATTATAAGAGCTCTCATACAGCGGTGTTTCTCCCAACCTTTATGTCCAAGTCTCTTACCCATGACAATCTCATCCCTGCTTTGGATGATCTTACGTCTAGTGCTGCATCTCGTGTAACTGACAAGGTAGAGTATCATTTACGGAGCAGTCAAGTACATCGCTGAGCCGCACTTGACACATACAACACCCCCACCCGGGATTCGGTCTCGTTGAATGTCACAGCCGGAGTTCAGCAACTCCGTAGCTGCATGCTGTCGCTGACGAGAGATAAGCTTTACGGTGCTGGGGTACCCCTGCCTTCTGAACATTGATGCTTGCAAATTATACGAGAATTATCTCGCCGTACGACGTTACCGGGTTCACTTAAAACTTCATTGACCGGGTATGACCAGCTGCCAATTGACTGCATATATCCCGCCGACTCACCGGCGAAGTATGGTTTTGCTGGATTCTCGAGGAACGCACAGAAAACTCGCTCGTATGTGCTCACAAGTTGGTCTCACGTCGGGTCCCCTGCTAGACAAATGGCCTGAGATAGACATATCTCTCAGGCTAAGTGGCAAGCATCATGCGCAGGGATCTACCCTGCAATCTTTACGGAGGAGGTTACACACGCTGGGCTGGTGCTATATCAGGTTCATTCTCAAAGCGTAATCCACGACGCTGAATTTAAAGGCGCACAACATGACAGCAGCAATTCCCTGACACAGCACCCTACCAACAACTGAGCCGGACGATATCAAATCTTACTCTCCATTGCATGCCGCGGTCTGGTAACCCTCCCCTAAGTCGCCCTCAGAAGGCATTGATGGGCAGGTGCTCCACAACCCTCCGCTCCGCAATCCGCCATCCCTCCGCGCCCTTCACCAGACGGTCATCGTAATACCCATAGATCCTCCGCGGTGTCCTGCCAGGTTCCCCCGGGAAGAAATGTATGCCGATGGCGTAGGTGCGGGCGGTAGCCGTGACGGGACTTTGCAACTGGATGACCTGCGTGCCTGAGCAATGGTACGTCGTGACGGCCTGGAAGTGTGCTTCCATAAGGCCCTTCAACCCGTCGATGCCTTGGAGTGTGCCCACAGGCGGTGGGTAGTAAATCACGGCGTCCGGAGTGAAAGCTTCGCTCAACAGGCGGGGATCAGCTTGGTCCAGGGCCAGTGGCCAGTGAGCGATGGCGTTGCGAATGAGATCGTGGTCGGAGAGGGACATGGTGCCTCAGTAGCAGCAGTTAGCAGACTGGTGAGGAGGGCGAGGCTGTGAATAGATGTCAGAAAATAGTATCACTATCGCCACCTTTAGGCGGGTTAAATGCTTCTCACTCGTCCTGCTCTGACCGCTATTATTATATCACTTCTCACCGTGGTACGCCATTCAAACGGCTGCATGACCCCTCTCTGAGCGAGTCGTGTGCAGCATCCAACCAACTCGGGATACTCGGATACTCGCAATCGAACGGTTACACATGCGGCTGAAATGGTCGTAATATCGGGGCTTGTTGGTCTTTCGACAGTGTAGATTCGTAATCGAATACGATAGAAGCCTTGTCTTTGTGCTTCTAGAGGTAACATCACGAGAGTTCATAGGGAAGCACAACCTAGTACCCAGACGTCATGGCAATGTCTAGTATGTAAAGTCCCAACGGGGTTGCGGATATCGGCTTGTTATGCGTATGTGCCAAGGTATATCAAGGATGTAAATTCCACCGATGTGCACTCGCATAGTTTCTTGACGCTCCACCTCCATCGTTGTTCGTGCAAAAGCTTGGCTAGTAGAATTTCTTTTCAGCCCGTCTCCAATCCAAGGATTGTTCACAATCTAACACATCAACCAATTGAAGCACTTAAGTAAGCACCTATCCTCGGTTTAACCTCATCATGCAGTCTAACCAATTCTATCAGTATTATCCCTCAGCGATCATGATACAGACACTTCCACAAGCTTTGGAGGCTGTTGCTGTCAGCCCGGATGGCGGGGCACTGTTCATCTACCCGCTCGGGAACCCAGACGAGCCGGTCGAGATTTCCTATACCCGATTGCTAAATCTAGCACGGCAGGCCGGCTCTGCTCTCAAGTTCAAACCCGGGTCCATCGTCCTGCTGCATTTTGATAACCACTGGGACCGAGTACTATGGCTCTGGGCGTCGCTGCTGGCCGGGTATATTCCCGTGATGTCGACGCCCTTCCCCGACAACACCAACCGACGGCTGGCCCACTTGGAACATTTGGCTGAGCTCCTTAGCTCACCAGCATGTTTGACTTCCACCAGAATGCTGCCTGCATTTGAGGGCCAAGAGTCGATCGAGCCAGGCTGTGTTGAGAAGCTGCACGTTGAAGACAACACTGTGGACTCCTCGGATGATGCAGCCAGGGCTACTGCCCAAAGCCCTCATCCGGATGCGACTGCCGTGCTGATGCTCACGTCCGGAAGTTCAGGGAGCTGCAAAGCGGTTGCCCTCACCCACGAGCAGATTACTGCAGCTGTCACTGGCAAGCATGGCATTATGCCCGTCGCTCCATCCACGACATTTCTCAGCTGGGTCGGGCTGGACCACGTGGCCGGGCTGGTCGAGATCCACCTCCAAGCCATCTTCACAGGGCACAGTCAAATCCTCGTCGAGGCACCAGACGTCCTGATGGATCCTGGACACTTGCTCAGCCTTGTCGAGCGACATCGTGTGGCGTGGACGTTCGCTCCCAACTTCTTCCTCGCGCGGATACATGCGACGCTGCTGCAGCAGACGCCGGAGGGGAAAGGCCACGCGAGTGGTGGCTGGGACCTGAGCTCTCTGCAATACCTCACTTCCGGCGGGGAGGCCAACACCACCCAGATGTGCGAAGAAGTCGCCACCTTGCTGTCTCACTACGGGACACCACGCCATGTCATTGTCCCCGGGTTCGGGATGACCGAGACCTGTGCCGGAGCAATCTTCAACACCCGATTTCCCGAGCGCGACAAGCGTCACGGGTACGCGATTGCGTCGCTGGGGCGATGCATGGCTGGCATTCAAATTCGAGTCACCGACGGCACCGGGACCAACATCCCCGTTCCAGCGGGGACACTGGGCCATCTGGAAGTGAGTGGTCCAGTGGTATTCCGGAGCTATTTCCGCAACGAAGTGGCTACACGATCCTCCTTTACGAGTGACGGGTGGTTTGTCACGGGGGATCTGGCGATGATCGACGAGACCGAGCACGGCCATCTGCTCCTCAGAGGCCGGGTGAAAGATGTCCTCAACATCAATGCAATCAAATACAACCCGACCGACATCGAAGCCGGCCTATATGAGGCGGTCCCGCAGCTGACATACGGCTCCGCGTGCTGCTTCTCCTCACTCCCACCGAACGGACACACGGAGGAGATTGTCATCGTATACCTCCCCTCGTACGAGCGCGAGGATCTCGAGGCCCATGTGCGAACGGTCCTTGCCATCCGACAAGCATGCCTGGAGATGACCGGTTCTCGGCCCCAAGTCCTGCCGCTGAGTCGCACCAGCGTCGCAAAGTCCTCGCTCGGCAAATTGCCACGCGCACAGATCAAGGCGGCATATGAGCGGGGCGAGTACCGGAGCGCCGCCGAGGAAAGCGCGGAGCGATTCGCCCTGTTCCGAAAGACCACAGACCAAGAACCACGAGACGATTTGGAACGCCAACTGCTCCTCATCTTTATCCACTCGGTCGACCACGCCACGGAAGAGGAGTTCGGAGTGCAGACCTCCATCCTCGACCTGGGGATCACCTCGATTGAGCTGATCAAGCTGAAGCGCCACGTGGAGAGGGACCTCACCTGCATCCAGCCGGGCAGCATCCCACTGAGCACGTTAATGCGCAACACCACCGTCCGAGATCTGGCCAGCGTGCTCCGCAACTCCAGTTCCCCCTCCACCCCCTCGGCACCAAACTCAACATACGACCCCGTCGTCCCCCTTCAACGCCGCGGATCCAAAACCCCCATCTGGCTCGCCCATCCCGGCATCGGCGAGGTGATGGCCTTCATGAACCTAGCCAGGTACTTCACGGACCGGCCCATCTATGCCCTGCGCGCAGCGGGGTTCAACGACGGCGAAGCCCTAGCGACCTCCCTGCCCGACATGGTCCAGCAATACCACGCCGCGATCAAACGCCACCAGCCCCAGGGCCCCTACGCACTAGCCGGGTATTCTTACGGGGGGATGGTGGCATTCGAGCTGGCCAAGCTCCTCGAGCGCACCGGCGACACGGTCAAATTCCTGGGCTCGTTCAACCTGCCGCCGCACATCAAGGAGCGGATGCGACAGGTGGACTGGAAGACCGCGCTGCTGGATCTGTGCAACTTTCTGGAGTTGCTGTCGGAGCGTCAACGCGTGGAGCTGGGGAGCGAGTTCCAGGAGGTCTCGGACAGGGACAGGATTCTTGCCCGTGTGCTGGGTGAAATCAATCAGGAGCGCTTCGCAGAGCTGGCCCTCTCCCCCGCCGCCCTGGCGAACTGGGCCCAGGTGGGGCAGAACCTGCACCATTTGGCGGTGGATTACGAGCCCTCGCCGTCGGTGGCGAGCATGGACGTCTTCTACTGTAATCCGATCAAGGAGGTAGCGTCGGGCAAGGAGCAGTGGTTCGACGAGTTTATCTGTCTGTGGCGGGACTTTACGCGGTCGGAGCCGCGGTTCCATGAGGTGCAGGGGTCGCATTACACGATGATCTCGCCGGAGAATGTGTTTGGGTTCCAGAAGACGATGAAGTCGGCGCTGAGTGCGAGGGGGCTTTGAGGGGCTGTGTGGTGGATGCGGACTTGGTGGTTGATGGTTTGAGTGAATGCGTTCCCAGAGTGAACATGGTACTAAGTACAGTACATTCTTTGGTTTTGTCTTGATGCGTGTTTGGTTTCTTAAGTTGACGGGTTCAATCCTGTTCGGCTTGGGACATTATAGATCGCAGATGTCTATCCCGGTATTTTGAACTCATCTCAAAGTAGGACAAGATTGCCACCTGTTGTAGTCATTTCCAATTATGCAGTCTGCACAGGCCTAGTCGCTGGCAGACCAGTATGGTCGTAAAATATATATAGGGATCTTGATACCCAAGACAGGATGTAAAGATAGTCTTGAGTACATTATGCTCCCCAGGTGTACCCAGGTGTATAGGATAACAGCAAAGCAACCGGGCAAACACCTTTCATCGAGTAAATGAGTGGTTCTCTGATGATGAACTCAAAAATTGCCGGGATAGATAGAGTATGACATCAACGATCTCATCTCCTGGACAGTACCGTGGTGTCGAGTAAGATAAGGTGGCGATAAGATAAGCTCTCCGCAGCCGAGATCTCCGAGCCGAAGAGGAAGCGACGTCATCGATTGTACCCCGCCTGCTGGAATCCGGATTTCCCGTTCAGTCACAGCGAGACTAGACATACGGCCATTAGTCATCGTCCCTGCATCAGCGCATCTCCCATTGTCTCGGAGAAATCTTCCTGGTTCTGGGAAAACATACACCTGGAGAGCCCACCTAAAGCCCACACATCCTCTCCCAGAAGAATGGGTCTGACAGGCACCTCCCAGACCTGGGCAGCCAAGCTACTACGCGGCGTCGGCCGCGCGGCAATGGGCACCCTCACGCGCTCGCACCCCGACGAAACGGCGAAATGGCCGTCGCGCGACGCGGGGCGCACGATCAAGGTGCACATCTACCGGCCGTCCCCGGACACCCAGCCCACGACACCCGGCCCCAGCCCCGTGCTGATCAGCATGTGCGGCAGCGGGTTCATCCTGGCCGGCCACGGCACGGACGACGAGTACTGCCGGTTCATCGCCACGCACACGGGGTACACGGTGGTGGACGTGCAGTACCGGCTGGCGCCGGAGCACCCGTTCCCGGCGGCGTTCCACGACGTGGAGGACGTGATCCAGCACATCCAGCAGGACCCGGCGACCTACGACGTGGGCCGCGTGGCGCTCTCCGGCTTCAGCGCGGGGGCCAACCTGGCGCTGGCCGTGTCGGCGGTGCGTGACTTCCCGCCGGAGGCGACCATCTACGCGACGATCGCCTTCTACCCCTCGTGCGACCTGGCCGAGGACTTCGCTGACAAGTCCGCGCCGGACGACGGCACCCGCCTCAAGATGCCCGCCGGCCTGTCGCGGTTTTTTCATCGGTGCTACTTCCCGGACGGGGACGGCGATGCCGACGACCCCCGCATCTCGCCGGCGTTCGCGGCCCCCGACCGCTTTCCCCGCAACCTGGCCGCCATCACCGCCGCGCAGGATCCTTACGCGCCGGAGATGGAGCGCATCGCGGCCGCGGTCGAGGCGTTGCCCGGCCGGAATGTCGTGCTCAAGCGCATGGAGCACTGTCCGCATGGGTGGGACAAGCGGGCCAAGGAGGGGACGGTGGGGGCGGCGGCCAAGCAGGAGGCGTACGAGCTGGTGGCGCAGTTCTTGAATTCGATATGAGACATTGCCATTGGGCTGGTGAGTTTGGGTTCTGTTCTTTGTGGATATTGTAGATACTCGGGTGTACTGTACATGGCTTTCGATCGAGCGTGGAATGTTCTCACCTTGGTGAGCTGTTAGATTTTGGCTGATACACAGTATGGATTTGTGGACGTTACACGATGTGCTTCTTACCTGAGGGTAGTTCCGGCCTTATGGAAGTCTTGATGGTTGTGTACCGTGGGTCATCACCTGTAAATGGAGATGTAGTCCATGACCGTGATACCAAATCATGCTCCGACTGGGCACAGCCTCCGCGTCACACGAAACTATACCCTTATCGGGCTCATTCGCTGCCTGTGGCCATATGAAGCCTCTAGCATAAAAGACGCAGCAGCATCAACAACAACAACAACAGCCGACGGCGTGCATTATACCCCCAAAAGGAGCTAAATATCACCCATGTCTTCAGAGTTCGTCTCCCATTGCTGATAGACACGAATGTATGTTCCACAGCGGGAACGAGAAGCATCGCGAGCAGCGCTGACGCTAGAGGCGGGTTACACGGACGTGGTCGGCATCTACGCAAAGTATCTCTCAGTAGAGGCGTCCACTCGTGCTGAAGGGTCATCGACCCCTGCTGCCCTCGACTGAATGAAATTACCTTCATCAAGCTGGTGCCGTAGCACACTGAACCTCCGGTCTGTTAGCCACTGAGTTGCGCAATACATGGGTTGTGCCCTCCGTTCTGGACTTGCACTTTAGCCATCCTAACAGAGCAGAATAGAGTCGATGCGATCAAAGAGAAAGAAAACCCGATGGATATGGTTCGTAGGCCAACAAGGTCGGGACCACGATCTGCTCCGTGCCTTTCTTGCCGTGACTCAGATTCCTTGTAGCCTCGGTGACCGATGCACGCCCCCCGCAGAAAGTCAGGCCAAGCGCAACGCGTCCACTACGGAGGTGACCCTCCTCCATTGTTCTGGGGTCTTGGGGTCTCTCATGCTACATAATTCACATGGATGTTTATTTAGTCAACCTGTGCACTAGCTTGCCATAAAGGGACACCATATCGTCTCTCCCTTCCCACTGCCATGATGTATACAGTTAAAATCGATCTCGCTTGACCAGAATGCGGAGAAAGATGTGCAATCATAAACTCATCACTGACCTATCCTTTCGCTTGCACGGTATATCTAACTTATCCACCTCCAAAGGCAACAAACGCATTCGGGGTCCCAATAACAGGGAATCCTAAGGAAAAAGATCCTCTGATGGTGAAGAATAATTAGCACCTATGTAGAATAGTTCATATCGAGCAGTCCAATGTACGGTACTGGTTCCTGCTTGAAGCCAACCAACCCTTGCGTTCAAGAGAGATCGATAGTCGATTCAGACCAGCCGGCCAGGTACCAAGGCACTGCCGATCCCTGCCAAGGCGGGACGGACGCCCAATTAGACTTTCTCCTGGTGCGGCACTAGCGTGCTTGATATAGATTAACTCAGTCTTCACAGTCTAGAGTGGTCTTACGGTGCTTGCCACTCAGTCAGTTGCACAGAGCTCTCAAGACGTGCATTAGTGGCAATCAACAGTCCAAAATGACAGGTCAAGGCCCTGCATCCTTTCGCCCCCAAAAACCTGTAGATACCTGGCTAGCTTGAACAATTATTACCATCTTAAACACTGACGCATCCACCCGTCAAGACAAATCCAGCTTGCACAAACCAATGGAACTAAGCACCATTTGACAGAGTACGATTTCCATCATAGAATAGAGCGGGATCCCAAAAATCTCGACTTCATCAGCCCATCAGCCCATCCACCCAGGCAACCCACCCAACGTTCCAGACGAGGCCCGCAAGGCCACTAGCGCGGATGTTAACCTGATTAGAGTATATTGTCCGGGCCCCCCGCGGGCCACAAGGATCCACGGGTTGCGAAAATGTCATCACAGTCTTGGCCGCCAGCCAAGGGGGAGTGAAAATCAATTTCCAATTACTCTTGGCGGAGGACCCACTCCGCAGCACCCACCGAACACCGACCACGACCGGTTTGGAGGAAAGAAGTCCTATCTATGCATCCGTCTCCGTACCTCCGTGCTCCGAGGACTACTCCAGACAGACCTCAACACGGGAACATACACTCCCACGCCAACTGGCTAGACCGACTACCCACTAGTGAATAGCAAGCGCCAAATCGTAATCTATTATCACCCACCCAAACGCGCGGTTTACAGCTTACAGCTACCCCTACGACAATGACCACCCAAAATGAAAAAATTATTCAAACCGTCTCATTCACACTAACTTTCGTCACCACATGGATCCCCTCGGGGAACATGAAGCGCTCCTGCGACTCGTTGCCGGTGTCCGCTTCGGCGCGACTGCTGCTGCTGCTGTGGCCCGGCCCCGTCACATTGTGAAGTTTGATGCTCATCGAGGGCCCGTGGCCCGGGAAGGTGCGGCGCGAGGCGGTGCCATACATCTTGGAGGGGCCGGCGGAGTCGCCCTCGCTGGAGAGGCCGAGCAGGCGCTGCAGGACGGGGAACCGGTGGGTGATGATGGTCTTGAAGCTGGGGATGCAGGCGATGAAGAGGGCGACGGCGACTTCGACGCAGGACCAGAGTTCCGTATTGACCATTGACCCTTTGCTTTTGTTAGCACGCGCATCTAAAAGGAAGGAGGGGCATAAGTACAGGTGTGGTCGACGGCGAAGGAGTTCATGTACGAGACGCGGATGATGCTTGTGACGCAGACCCTTTCCATCCATACTAGTCAGCTTCATGCATCGATACCGCGGAGCAGAGCACCAAAGGGCAGGAGGGAAAGGAACGTACAACAACCCCAGACTAAACATCACCACCAATCCCATCCGCTTCCCGCGCGTCATCTTCAGCTGCCACAGCTTCGGGATCGGCATGATGAAGATCGCCAGGTCGGTCGCCAGCTTGATCGCGAAGTTCGAGTAGTACAGCGCCGTCATGTTCACGCAGTAGCCCTCCACCAGCCCCGTCGCGTCCCACGCCTTGTGCACGGGGATGCACTGGAAGATCACCACAAATGTCTCCGCGACCGTCTCGCCGATCAGGATCGCCAGCAGGCACCAGCACGCGATCCGGAACTTTCGGCCGGGGAAGATCTGCAGGTACAGCACGCAGAAGGAGATCTTGATGGCGCCCAGGGCGAGGACGTAGGTGAGCATCGTGACGAAGTCGAGCTGAGGGAGCAGAATCGTGGTTGTTAGGTATGGTTGATCGTATTGGCGAGCGAGATCGCCAGGGAGGGAGGGATCCTACCTTGAGGAACATGGATCGAGCGCTCATGCTCGAAACCGTGCCGATGTGCTTGCCGAAGCCGTATCGGGTCACTGCGGGAGGGCCAGGGCGGTTAGCATGCGACCGTACCGTCTTTCTTGCTCGGGGAGATACATGTACTTACTCCACATCGTGGTAAAGCATAGGGCGAACGTGAAGACCTGGAAGACCGAGTAGATTGACGTTAGTGATCGACGGTAGGGGAATCGCAAAGTCCGGCAGCAGAAGGCAACATACCCAGCTAGTTATACACAGCACATCATCCAGATTGATCCCTGTGAGATAACGGACGCGCACAAACAGCCGCACCAGCAGCCCTCCTGTCGCAAACACGAGGAGAATCGTGTTGCATGCGATGATGCCGGGGATCCGGGACTGCGCCAGGTAGGCGATCCGCTCCGGCGAGAGATCTCTCTCCCAGATCTCTTCCATGGAGGGCGGGAAGACCAGCTAACCGTCGGGAAAAGATGCAAAAGGAGAGACCGGACGGAGAAGAGAAAGGCAAGGGAAAGTTCCAAGAAGGAATCGAAGAAGAAGGATTACATTGGCGAAGGAGAAAGAATTTCGAGGGCGAACCTGCAGGGGGGAAGAAAGCGGGAGGGAGAGAACCGGAGGGAAAACCGAAGGGAGGGCTGGAGACGGGCGGGGGCAATCATGAGACGGCGAATCCGTATATATGAGTCTGGATTTTTCTCCTTGTAGTGTGCAACGGTTGCAGGAGTACAAGGCCCGAGCATCGTTTCACTTTGCCAGGGGTGGAGATTGGCAGTCGTCGACACGTGGAATTTCTCATCCGTGGTGTCACTCTTGCAGGGTGTCAGTCCGGCACTCGTGCAGGCTTTGCCCCCTCCCCTCTCCTTTAGCTTAGACTCAGACCAGGCTAGAGTTGAAGACTTAATTTTACTTAGACTACATGTCATGAATCATGCTTTGTGAAGTGGGACACGATCCCAATCGTGATTCCGTTGAACGTTTTTGGGTGTATCCACTTACCCACGCACCCTCCCCACTGCCTGCTCCACTGCGTTTCACACAACAATCGAATTTTGCAGGCCCGTTGGGCGAGCAATTATTCACAGACGCCTTACGTACCTGTCCCATTGAGATAGTGTGATCTAGTTCCTCGAGCTGGTTCTGCGATAGATTGCCAAAGCTTGTCGTGAAGATCGAGAATTCTAAATATAAGCTTCAGCAAAAGACTAGCGATGAAGAGTGACTGTGCTTACTAAAGGCGGCCAAAGTTGCATGCCAAGAATCTTAAAGTGCTTATCAGGCTGTGGTATTGCGAACATGATTTGTGCGAATTTACACGTCCAGCTCAAGCCCCTCAGAGCTCAATATGCGTGGTAATCTCCGACGCTGCCAGGGCATTGCTGCGTTGAGCATAGGAGATCCTGTCAACAGCCTCCCGTCTGAAGTAGGGCTAGCCGGTGTTGACACCGGGTTTGTCCGTTCGGACCATGTCCGACCGGCTCGTATTCACTCCTGGTGTTTGTGTTTCACCATAGTGATGGATCCGTTGACTGTTGAATCCGTTTCCCTAAGCTAATGGCGGCCTGCTAGTCATGGTCCAAGACATTTGCCCCCTCCCATCTCGAATGGAGAGCAAAAGTGCCGAGCGCCAAGAAGAGGGTCCGATGCGGTGGACATGGCGACCGCAGATGGTCTCTACAAGTTCCCCGCTGGACTGTCCTGGTCAACCTACGATTTTAAGAGTTTCTGCTCATGGACGCTATCTAAACTTATTCATGAGAGCCATTTTCATGATTTATGTCGACATTGTGCTTCTATTGCCTGGGAATATTCCCGTTCGGGTACATCGAAGCACGGCCGTTCAATCGTCTTTCAAACATGCCATGCACGTGGTGAGACGGGAAGTGGCCGTTTCAGGGGTCTGAGGTCAAGGAATACGTTTCATCGATTATCAATGCGAGCTTGTCTTGACCTACTTCTTGGAGGCAGCTGTCTCTCAAAATGCGACGAGTGGGTGTGCATCCGCGGAGCGTGCCCTTGAGACAATTCATAATTACTGAGACATCGACACAGACCCGACAAGAATCACGTTGACTATGAGCACCGAGGATTGACCACGTGAATTGTATGCTTGAAGGTTTGTGAAGGTTTGCTGTTGTCTGCGTATGAGGGTGGCAGGCGTCACGGAGTGGACAAGTCACATGACGGGACAGCCTCCCCCTTGTCGATGAACAGTCTTGTCGACCTTAAGAGAACCCGCATGATCATGTCCCCATACGAGGGTGCTAACAAAGTCTCATTTCATGAGTCGCCTCAAGTGACGAATACACGTCCAGCTATCGAGAGACGCCAACGCCATGATCTGCGCGAGCTCCGCATCCGCTTGATCGCTTGCCTGGGGGAAGCCTTCATCATCGCCCCCCGGAACAGCAAGTACCCTCAACCGCCCCCGCAGCTCTTCGTCCACCATTCTGTCAAAGAGCTCCTTCCCCACCACCGTGCCACCGGTATCAAATGAACCGCGCAGCTCCGCGCGGATGTGCGCTCGGAGTTCGAGCCGGCAGCGGGCGCCGGAGATGGTGCTTGCGAGGACGGAATCGTACGGGCCCTCATAGTGCGGCCAGGCCCGGAGCTCCTGGATGGCCTGCCAGCGCACGTGCAGGTCCGGGCAGGAGTCGGCGACCACCTGCAGTGGCAGGATCACGCCCGAGTCCACCATGACCGTGGGCCGGTCGGGGAACTGGGCGACGATTGTGCGGGCCAACGATAGGATGGCCGCGTGATCGGCTGAGAATGCCTGAGCCTGGGCGGGCGGGAGCTGCGCTACCAGAGACATCCGGAGCCCCACGGAGTAGGTCATCAGATGCAGTCGCAGCAGGTCGGCGCCGCGCTTGTGTTTCGGAGAGAGGCTGGCATGTTTGAGGGCACAAAAGTTGTCGAGGGAGTGTGTGGCAAGCTCGAGGTCTGCGAGCAGGTGGGTTTGGGCGGCCTTGAAGTCTGAGTAGTGGGCCATGATTTCCTCTGCGGAAGCGGTGCCTAACCGCTGGAAGAAATGGTTGATGGCACTATCGAGGGGTTGCATGGCCAGGCGTAGGTCGTCGACGCTTAGCCCGAGTAGGTCGCGGTCGCGGTCGCTGTCGTTGCTGAGGCGGATGAGCTTCCGTGGCGGCTGATGGGCCCAGAGTTGGGAGCACCCACGAGGATTGAAATGCGTCGACTGGGTTTCGAGCTGGGCGAAGGCCGCGACGAGATGCGAATTCATTCCGCCGCCGCCGATTGAAGATCCAATAAGCGAAGTGCAACGGCCTGACCTCAGCTCTTGTGAAACCCGCAAGCCAGCGTGCAGATGCCGGAACGCATTGTCATAGTCTCGTTGCAACAGGCTCAAGTACACGAAGAGTAGACAGCAGAGCAGCGTGACTTGCCGCATCTGCGGGTCCTGAGCATTGCGCCGACGAAGGAGCTCAAAAGCGCGAGCGGACTCCTCCAGCGCGTAGAAATACCAAACGCCTCGTCCCTTTTTACCATTGCCGGGGAAATTGATGCCCTGAAAGATCACTTCTTGGTGAGCGGCCCCCAGGGCGACGGCGGCGTGGCACACTGCAGGCTCGATATTCGCCATTTGGAAGACAAACTGCTCCCATAGCTGGGAATCATAATACCCCAGAGCATCGGTGATGGTGCGGTCGCAAAAGAATGAAAAGCAGCGACGTTGATCCGATGTTACAACCCAGCGTATGTGGGTGTTGACCGAGGTAGTAAGCGAGAAGGAAAGGTTCTTCCCGCGCTTGGCTGCCACGGGTAGGCGATAGGCTTCGTACCCGTCACAGAGGCGTCCGGTGGACGTACAGTTCCGACACTCCTCGGGGGTCTCATCACATTTAATTCGTCGGATTCTGCATGTGCGGCAGCCCGTCTTCGATCGCTTGCCACCGAAGCGGCGCTTTTTTGCAGGCTGTGAGGACATGTTGTGAGAGCATGTGAGAGCATGCTCGTTGCCTTTGGAGTGATTATGTGGCAGAAACACGTCGACTTGAAGGAGGCGCGACCACAGCGAGCTCTGCGAGGGGTAAAAGAGTTGACAGGGTCGAGGCACTAGTCAGGAGTTCGACTGAGGCGACAAGCATTAGTGTGAAGCTAACGGCTTAGTTTGTGCCTGGATGATCCAACACCGCACTTGACGTTGAAGTTGGTGGTGTGCTGCCGGACACTGCGACTTTGGTTCCATGATCACAGATCCTGTTGATCCTGAATATGTGAGATCCCCCCAGCAAAAATATCCCTCGAAGCCATTTGTTTGCAACATGGTCATGTTGTCCCAGTGGTGTTGAGCTCGTCGGATCCTGGGCTCTCGCCGGAAAAACACTTTGTCGTAACCAAGTTGACTAAGCTGGCAAAGCTACCTCGTGCTTGGCGAGCACCATGCTGCAATGGCCCTTGTCGCCGCTCATGATCGAGCACAAGCATGGTGCTGGCATATTTTATTCTTGTTTGACTGGGGCATCACGTCACCAGTCGGATTTGAAGGAACACTACGTTGAGTCTCGGGGATGACAGAATGCAAAGATAACTCAAAGTGCAAGCCTAGACAGCGACGGATGGACAGCACAGTAGGATTAGGTACTTCTCAAGGGAGCGCAGATGTTGACAGTGGTGGAAAGTGGGTGGAAAGTTCCCCCCTCCTGGGGACCAAATCGATGGCGGATGAGGCAGTGACTTGACCGCCTTAGGGCGCTGTTCCCTCAGGCACCAGGGCATCAAGGCACCAAGGCCAGCAGTGGGTGGAAGGCTTTCCAAATTATCTGGCGGACACTTTAGTCTGCTTCCACAACTTCCTCTGCATCAATCACAACCACAACCACAAGCCATCATCCACTCATTGCGAAGATAGCGCACTCCGCTTCGGTCTGGCAGAGTTACTTAAGCCACATCATGCGAGTCACAAGGTACACATACTGGCCTGTGCACCCTACGCGTGAATCGGGAACGGTCGCGTTCAACTGCCCACAAGCGTGCCCCTCGGAGGCTACCTAGTACCCAAGCGATAGAAAAGGATGTGAGACATGCAGCGCCCACGTCGCCAATAGATCACTGTTGATGCATGCAAACATTTCTCTCAGCCTCCCCGGAATGATGATTAACTTTGACACCGAAGGTTGAACTTTCGAGGTTGCTGTGCGCGAAATACAACCCGATTTGCATGCAGAAAGTGAGCAAAATATCAACTGCTTCTTCTTTTTTGTACGGTCGGAGCCCGAGCTTACTCTGCTACAATTTACCGTATGTGATGGCTCTCCACACCAGCAGATGGTTGACAGTCTTTCCGGATTCAATATGCTAGCTTTGCTAGTCAGGAATAGACGGTGTCATGTCCCATCGTCACAAAGCTCGGGGCAGCATTCCTGGCTTCGTTTGCCTGCAACGCCACATCTCGTATTACAGTACCTCAAGAAAAATCAACAATCCTTCAAGGTCAACTGTTGCTCAGACTCGCACTTCTGGGAGTACTGGAAAGGCTTCTGGTAGTAGTCGCTGCATGAAATATTGCAGTCATGAATTGTATCATGGATTTACATTTCGATACCTGCTTTAAGCTGATTGTCGTAGGTCCCTCGAGCGACTCGTAATCCATCCCTAAAGCATGAAAGGATGAAAGCATGGCAGCTTCCCATCGTCTAGACTCGATGTGGGGAGTGGGGCATCGGAATCGGATTCACGATAAGGCTCTGACTCCAGATCTTGAGTTCGTGGGAGCCTGTTTTTAGGCACGGAGAAACATCGTCCTTTCGCATGAAACACATCATTGCTGTTTCTCGGCCGCAGTGCGACCCAGGAGCTCAGCCACAGCCGCGGAACGGAACAGGTACTGGACGCAGTGGAACGGGGGAATCATGAAGCATGTCGGCGCAACACCGTGGTACAAATCCGGCCTTGTGGCTCTCTCGCATCGAACAGTGCGCTTGGGCTTCCACTACTTAGTCCCCTCACTTCAGAAAATGACAGCGACACCACACGATACCCATGCTTTGACTTCACGGTGGTGTAGTGACAGAGTGCTTTACCCCTGGTTGGGTCCGGGGTATCGCATGAGAGAGCCCGGGCACCCAGCGAATCATTATCGAGAGCGTCAGCCTCGTATCATGCACGAACACGAGCAAAGACCCTGCAGCCCCGTCAAGTGGCCAATTGTTTCTGATTTCCAACCGCATCGATCGGCGTTTTTTATTTAGTGGCATCAGCCATCTGCACACGCTACGATGTAAATGTATCATTCTAGCGAAAGATGCATCTGCTCAAGCCTTCGCTGCCATTGCCTGAAAAGCCACCCAAAATGCCAAAAGTTCTACCCCCGCTGCCTAATGGCGTCGGGACGTAGAGGAGAGGAGGCTCCTTGGGAAAGTCCAAATTCCAGCAGCTGGGCATTTATAACTCACAAGCTGAACCTTGACCCCAGCTTGCATCATTGCTGGAAATTTTGTCGTCCTTTGGTTTTCGAGTCCTCATAAGAGCGATGTCTGCCGCGCTCTACACCTACACGGGAGTCTGGATCAACTGGTCCGAGGGAGCGATCCGGGGAGCCACCTTGACTTTGTCGCAGACCGACTCCGGCATCTTGAGCGCCTTTCTAGCTATACTTGTCTCCCTGGCAGGCAGTCTGTTCTGGAGCATTCTGAGTTTTGCTCTTCATCAGACCGGGACTACAGCCCCTGATCGGCGACGGGATGCTCTTCACTACCAGCGACAGGTCATCCTGCGCAACAAAGGTGCAGCCGCCGCGGCCTGGGCTTTAATCAAGTTACCATTTGAGAACGAGCGAACAGCGTCAAAGCTCAGGGCTGTGGGGCGATCGCTACCACTGGCCCTGCTACCCATCCTCGTTCTTATCCTTTTCGGAGTATCTGGTCTGTTCACAAGCTACATCACCAAGGCGGCCGGCCAGTCGACGCTCATCATCGGCCCAGGCTGTGGGGGCTACTCGTTCAACGCCACGGATGTGACCGTCAGCAACACGAAGAGTTTACAGGATACCTACGACGCTGCCACCTACGTCCGCCGATGCTATCTCGAGAACGCGAGTGAACTCGACTGCAGCACCTACGTCCGCCCCAGCCTGCCGTTTACCACGAACCCGAATGCATCCTGCCCGTACTCCCCCGATCTGTGCGCGTACAACGGGAACTCGGCCCTGCAAATGGACACGGGTCTGCTGGATTCGCACGAGGACTTTGGCATCAACGCACCCCCGCGCAACCGAATCAAGTACCGGCGAGTCACGACCTGTGCCCCGGTCAAGCACGGGTCCGGGCTAGGGAGCGTGCAGAACGACTCAACGTGGGGCCAGATCGTCTACATCAATGCCGGATATCAGTATTACATGGGTGAGCCGTACCTGAACTACACGTTCTCATACACTCCGATCCCCAGCGTGGATGGAGTGGGCTACACACTCAGGTGAGTGCCTCCACACAACCCACATTCCAAACAGACCTCACCCTGACCGACCGCAGCGCCGTTTTCGCCAAATCCGACCCCAGCGGACTCCTGAACGGCCTCGAGTCATGGAAGCCGACCGACGCGATCAACCAAACCGACGCGGACATCACGATGATGATGCTCAACCAGAACAACATCAACTACCTGCAGCCCAGCTACGACCCGTGGATGACGGCGCTCGAACAGCAGAACTACAGCATCGAGGGGACCAACGTCACCTCGTCGATGTGGACCAAGAGCTACGAGGTGAGTCTGATGGTATGCACCGACCAGTACCAGATCTGCAACCCCAACCGGCCCGGGCCAGACGGGTGCACCAAGCTCGGCGGAATCCTCAGCACCTCGCTGTCCACATTCACCGTCGACCCGACCAAGTTCCTCGGGTTCAACGTGTACCAGATCGCGACGATCGGCCGGTTCGTGTCAGGGAACAACGACCGAAGCATGTACTCCAACGTCAACGGCCGCGGCGGCGCAGCGTTAAACGGTGAGTAGTAGCCTGTGCCCCTCCACCCCAACCCCCACCCACCCCAACTAAACAGAACAATCCAGCCTCCTCAATCGCCTACAGCAACATCCAATTCTACATTCCGCCCACCCAATGGCAAACGGAGGTAACAACCTGGTTCGCCACCTCCCTCGCCAAAGAACAAGCCTGGGCGGTGGAGTGGGCGACCGCACCCAAGAACTTCCCGGCGACCTCGCTGCTCGACCAGTCGTCGGTCGGGTGGAACGTGACGGCGCCGCTGAACCGCTACGCGCGTGTGCAGTGCACCAACCAGCTCGTGCACAATGCCGCCGGGTACGCCAACTTCTCGGTGCTGGGGCTGGCGCTGACGGTGGGCGTGTGCGGGCTGATGATTGTGGTGGGGCTGAGCGTGGATTCGGTGGTGGGCTGGCTGAGGGGCAACGGGCGGTGGCGGTATATGCGGGAGCAGTGGGCGGTGGAGGAGACGTTGAGCCTGCATCGTGCGGCGTATATGGGGTTGGGGATGTGGCGGGGGGATGATCCGGAGGGAATGGTGCCCAGCTCGGTGGGGTTGGAGGGGGGAAAGGAAGGGTTGGGGCAGATGGCTGCGGGAGGTGAGGGTGAGGGTGAAGGTGGCGGGATGCGGATGAAGGATGGGTATGCGGTTGTTGGGCATGAGGTGAGTTAGGGTTGAGGTTGTTAGTGTTGTTTTGGGTCAGTGGATGTAAAGGTAATGAGTGCTGGTGAGGATGGAGTTGGCATGGAGGTGAGTTTGGAACGTGAAAGTGTTATAGTCGATATATCTCTGCTTCAAGTCTACGCTTCAATCAACTGCACTAGAGCGGTTGGGTGCCCTTGTGTTCGGTTATAAGCGAGGTTGTTAAATATATATACTGCGCGACATACACATAGTACACGGATATTGCGCGAGTCGAAGCGCTGGGCGGACCTTTGAAGTGATGAAAGTGGTCGGTAAGATTCCCAATCGGCACTCCTTCCCATCT